TGTGCCACTCCGTGGCCAACCGCCAACTTCGGTTACATTCGGCTTCTTTCGACATCCCAAACACACGGACATGGAAAACTTTCATTGTGTGCAATCCCAGTGGCACAGGGAGAGGGTAAGATTTACCCATGATCTGACAGCACTGTACTAAACCGTACTGGTGTCTTCTCTGTAGAGCAAAAATAGCGGATGAGAGTACTCATCTCTATAGTGCTCTACAAATGTTGTTTGCGAGCGCCATCTGTCAGAAAGGAATTTTTTCTGCTCGAAAGATAGGCAACCCGTCATACATACGTGTATCAACAGTTTTGACTACAGAAAAATTCCGTCCCAGTAGATGGCACTCGCAAGCAACTTTTTTAATGTGTGTTTGGAGGGTTGCATACGAACAGGCACGCATTTTTATAATTGAATTAATAATTAAATAAATAATTATAAATAAATGTACAAATAATATTATAATAGTATTATATAATAAATTATCCTCGGAAATTGTTTATTTGAAGGTTTTACTTCTAACTTGTATGATATGCACACATGTTTTTTTCAAACATTGCACATTATATTTTGTAAAATTTATTAACAAAAAATTACTGTGATTAATAAACTTTTTTACAAATGTATAAATTTAAATTTTGCTCAATATTAAAAAGAGATTTTTTGATGTATCTAAGAATTAATGTATCCTATGAATTTAATCATTTTAATTAATAGATTTAATGAATATTATAATTTATATGTTTATTTAAAAATATAAGACCAAGAGAATAAAAAAGAAATTGTGATCAAGTTGTATGTTGAAATTAATGTAACTGTAAAAATTACACTTTATAATCTTACAATCAAAATGCAAGTGTTTCACGATAAATCGTGTGTGCGCTTAGTATTCTTCGTGCGGACCAACTTAACATAGCGGAAGTGTTACACTTGCAGCTGTGACCAAAACCACCGAATTACGCAATGGCGAAAGCAATACTGATGTAGAGAAAAATTATTGACCATTTTATTGTTAAATATTTAATTTTTCTTGTAATTTTAATCAAAAATGAATGAATACTGTATTTAATTATATCGTTTACAAGAAAGAATGCCGATTTTTTTTAAATCGAAAGGGTGAACTATTTCGCAGATAAACATATGCTAAATTGAATTCTTTTATTAATTTTCTTTATTTTTTGTCGAAAAACTAACTAAAGATTTTTCTTTCTTAGATGAAAGTTCTTGCGTAAATATTTATTATAATATAGCCATTCGAGGATATGAAAATAGTTCGAAATGAGAGCGAAACTTTTCCTGTCTCATACGATACACGTCACGTACTCTCATTTCAAACTGTTTGCAATGCAACGAGGGATGCGATAAACGTTTCACGAATGGCCACCCCGTCGTTCCTATAAATACGATTGTCACTGCTTGGTCGAACGTCAGTCTCTCTAAGCACATCTGTGAAATCATAGGATTACATTCAAGAAAAATAAACATGGCTATTAAGGTGAGAATATGCGATTAGATGAAATATTGAAATAATAAGATTTTGAGCGTCAATACATTTTCTATATATAAAGAAAATCACAAAAATACAAGGATCGTGAATAAAACTAAGATAATTTTAATCCCATTCTTATTCTTTGTTTTATTCGAAAGCTTAAAATCTACAAAAATTGTTCAAATTAAAAAAACGTAAAATATCTCATAAATCAATAGAAGAAAGTATCTCAAAAATCAATGAAATTACATCTGAAATATGATTTATCTATAAAATATGATGCATATTGTTACAAGGTAACACATTGTTTTAATAAAATTACAAATTATATATCACCGATTGATTTTATTAGTCAACAATCACGTGCGATCACATCACACTCCGATCACTTGTGTCGCAACCCACTATGAGAAGTGCTCGTAAAGCAATGTGAAACTTTCGCCCTTTTCGTATTCGAACCAATTCGCTTTCAAAAACAACGCGCCTTGCATACATTACACGAGGAGAAACGATAGTCTTGTTACTTTTCATTAATTTAATATGATTGCATAGTACACAATATTATTCTATTTATAAATACAGTAAACATCCGGCATATAAAATTAAAGATATAAACAATATGCTTCTATTTCAGTCGATCCTCGTCATTATGGCAGCTGGAACGTTCGCTCTATGTAACGGTGGAGCTATTCCATTACCTGTTGCTGCTGTAGCTCCAGCAACAGATTACGATCCTCATCCACAATACACCTATGCTTACGATGTAAGCGACAGCTTAACGGGTGATTCGAAGAGTCAACATGAAAGCAGAAATGGCGATGTTGTTAGTGGCAGTTATAGTTTGATCGAAGCTGATGGTACCAGACGAGTCGTCGAATACACAGCTGATCCAATTAATGGATTCAACGCTGTTGTCCATAGAGAACCTGTAGCCCTTATTAAACCAGTCGTTCCTGTTGCTCCAGTTGCTCCAATTGCTTACCGTCATTGACAGATTATCCATCCTAGACAAAAAAAATATAAATATAACTGATTCCATTATTTCTCTATACGATTGGTCACACTAGACTCTGCATTTCCTTTTGGCTAATATTTTCTTCGCTTAATCTAACGAAGATACAAAATTTGCGATATATATATTGCGAATACTTGCCACGAATTATCATGATTTTTTTGTACGAAAATTTATATGGTATTTATTAGAAGTTAAGAGATTTAAAACTGCTCGTCGATAATGAGAAATGTGGTGACATTGTAAATAACGAATTATTATAATTGACATTTTGTATGGATAATAAAAATATTTTATTATAACACATGTATCTTGTTAATCTCCTTGATTCTATAACATTTAAATAATTAAAGTTAATTCTTGAATATTTCTTACAATCGAAGGAAAATTAATTTAAAGAAGATTGACATCTTTTGAAGAATTTCCTTTTTATGTGTATTATCAATTAATTGAAAATAAAAAGAACGTTGAAGAAAAATTAATTATTCTTTAGAAAACTTTTATGTCAACAATCGAATGTATAATTATCTAAGATTTATCTATCGATCTATAAGAGATATTAACTTTTATTTGCATTGACATGCGACGTAACAAAAAGTTAATTAAAAATTGTTAACGTTGGAACAATGTTAATGTGAAACTACCTGTTGCAATTACCTACTTTTCTAAATCGAAATTATTGCGTTATAAAATGCCGATTGTTTTCTGTTATCTTGCCAGCATATTTTACGAAGAAAATTATTCGACGAAAAACTATCGACAATTCGTCATTGTTTCGTAAAGGAAATTTGAGAGTACACGGAGAAACGTGCGTAGAATTGAAAATTATATTCGATGTGTCAGTTAGTAAAAAACTAGCGACAATTAATTCTTGATCCTTGCTTTAAATAATGAAAGTAGGTATACACAAAGAATTTCCTTTACGAATAAGGTGTATGATTTCAAGTGATTCTCAATAATATTTTTACAAAAACTTACAAAAGAATTCTAATAAACAATCAAAGAAATAATAAATGTTTTACCAAAAATTGGCTTTATCAAAGTAGCTTCTGATATAAAAGAATTATCTGGTATTGATTTATATTATATGATAGAATCCTGTATAATGTTGTTAAAACATCACGAGTAAAATAAATTTGCGATGGATGTGTTGTAGAAAATCTTAATGACAATAATTTTTCTCGAATGATACGATTTCTATTATTTTTTTTTAATTTTTCTAAAAATAATTTACAATTTGTTCATAGGAACATGTACATTAGATATAAATCTTGAAAATCTAATCTGTAAATTATTCTTTATAACATAGTGATCAAAAATAAAAAATCAAAAAATCAATTACAAAACAGAATAAATCAGTAGTGATGAAGATTACAGTGTAATGTTCAATTAAAACAAATTTAATTTTTAAACGCAAGAAATGTTTACATTTTATACTATTGTATGAAGAATCGTGTTATATAAAAACAATATCTTGACCCACTGTTGGCGTTATACAGAAGTTTATTGTACGTTATGGTAATATTATACTATAAGGAATATGTAATTTTTTATTTAAAGGTTTTTACACACACATAAATATAGAAAAATTGCAATGTTTTTAGACAGTCAAAGATAAAAATAGCAATGAAATAGAAAACTGAAGTTGTAGAACGAATAAGTGAGACTTAGCTCAATCATCAGTTTTTTCAAATCGAGGCGAGCAACCCCAATGATCGCGAAAGGTTGGCGCCTGGACAGTACGCTGAGGTGCAACTCAAAGGAGTTGCTTTCGTCAAACGACCTCGGTGTACAAGGAACGTTCCTGGTCATTGGCGTATTGACATACAGGTCGCGTGTATGCGACACGATTCGTTATGAAGAAACATAAGCGCGCATACTCATTGTGCTTGTTGGTACACGTGCGCATCGTGTCCTGGACAAGCCCAGGTTGTATCGCAACGATTATGAGAAGGTCGTTAAGTAAAAAAAAAGAAGAAAGAAAATACTACCAAGAGATTAGGTGGGGGCGGCAAAGGCGGGTGCTTTGACGTGTCGCGACTTTGGGTGCAAGAAATTCTCGCGGGTTATTGTCTACGGATGGCACGAAAACGTAAGCCGCAATCGAGACGTATAAAAGTGCCACTGATTTTACCCCGAGGCATCAGTCTTCTGCCGATCCTCTTGTGAACAAACATGGCTGGCAAGGTAAGTTAGAAAAAAAACCTCCTCAAATAGAAGAAATTTTATGATCCTGACTAAAAGCAATGAAAGGATAAAAACTCTTAAATCCTGTGATTTATTTTTACATTAATAATATGTATAATAACATAAATTAACGTTAGATCTTAATATGATCAAAATTTCTGTCTTATAACAGCAGAGGAATACAGCCAACTCTTACTTCCTCTTTTTCAGCTCGTCGTATTTTTGGGGTTGGCGGTACTCGGGCAATGTGCGGTGGTACCAGCGGCAATACCAGCTGTAGCAGCTGTTCCTGCGGCAAGACTAGAAGAATTTGACGCAACACCACAGTATAGTTTTGCCTATGACGTCCAAGACACTTTGACGGGTGATTCAAAGGCTCAATATGAAACGAGAAACGGTGATATCGTTCAAGGAAGCTACAGTTTGATCGAAGCTGACGGAACTCGGCGTATCGTTGAATACACGGCTGATCCTGTAAATGGATTCAATGCCGTTGTTAGCAGGGAACCTGTAACTGCTTTGGCTGCTATCGCAGCACCTTTCGTACCCTATAGACCCGCTGTATCACCTGCTGTGGCAGCTGCACCTTTACCTGCACCGGCTGCTCCAGCTATTCCTGCGACTGGTCCGGATTCGGATGTTGAAGTTGTCGAAGCTAGAACAGGACCTCTGAAGAACGCTCCGGCTCCTCGAGATTTTGAAATTCAGAAACAGCAGAGGCAACAGCAACTTGAACAGATACGCCAGCAGCAACAACGTCAGCAAGAACAGCAGCAACAACAGTTGGAGCAGCTCAGACAGATACAGGAACAGCAAGAACAGACGCGCCGTCAAATTCAGCAGCAAGTCAGGCAACAGCAACAACAAGTACAAGATCAACAAGATGATCAACAGGAGGAGCAACAACAGAAGGAACAACAACAGAAGGAACATCAAGAACAGCAGGAACAGAGATCTACACCAGTTAGAGCTCTCGCCAGTCCAGTTCAGTTCCGATTGGGACAGACAGAGAATATTCAACGAGGATTAGTCCAATTACCAACGGCAAGAGCTGTAGCTTCTTATCCTACCTACTCTGCTTATACGGCAGCATACTCCTCACCGTTTGCCTATGCGACACCCCTTGCCAGTTTAACCTATGCACCTGCACTCCTCTAAAACACATACCGCCTAATCTCAATTTTTACACGACTTGTCCATCGAATGATATGTTATTTTTAAGATTTTAATAAATCACTTGTAATCTTCTGAAATGAATTCTTTTCCTTTATACCTCACAAAAATAAAAATGTTGTCAACTATGCAAAACTTTTCAACAACAAAAGCCTAAAGTTTTCTTTTTTATGATATATTCGTTTATATACCAAACAAGATCTGAAATTGGTTGGATAATGTTCATTTCTTTTTTGGTGAAATCGAGCAACTTTCTTAACATGTTTTCTTATTTCTTATTTTATAAAAATATGCACGAAACGAAAAAATAAAAGTCTTGTTTTCACTAGTCGTAAATCTAAATTATTCGTCCATGATATAATATAGTATATCCATTGACACTTAAAATAACATTTCGACTATTCTTACATTGTATTATGTGAAATGCTAAAATGATTAATGATCAATGTTGTACATGTAAAATTTCTTATATCATAATCTATTATGTGTGTGATGTATATATTATATATGTTCCAATAGTACTATTTCATTGATATATATATAAATAATAAATAATAACTATAATTATTAATCATTATTATAATTATTAGTTTTGTATTTTCTCTTCCCAAAGGTTAAAATACTCGCAAATAATAAATATATCAAACTTTCATGACCACTTGAAAACAATCGAGTGACATTGTAAGTGGAAAAAAAAATCAAGTCATCTATATCGACATAATTTTGTGCATGATGCATCCGCAATACATGATCGAGTGTGGGTGTAATAAAGTAAAAGCGTTGCGATCAATGTCACCGATGGATAGATCGATGGCTTGTCACGTTCATCCATGAAGTCAATTCATCGTCGTTCACCGTTACGCAAAATGTGTTATGTCGACGCGTATACGTTCTTTACGCAACAAACAATGTGCGTATGCGAGCAAGTATGCGAACATCGTAATACCCCTCGACCTTCGACTACGCATGCTGACCGCGTAACGAACTTATGCTAGACAAGTACTATTTGTTGCGTAGAAAATGCGTAATAAGATCAAAAGTACAGACGATCTGTTTTTTAAATTATCTTTTAGTTACAACAATAATTCTAATATAATTAAATTGATTTTTAGAAATTCAAATTTTATTTAAAAATTCATCGTAATGATATTATCAATTATATTTATACACATGATTGAAAAGGAATATCTACTATGAAATAGTATTGTTCAATTTTTTTAAATAACATTATACACTGAAAGAGATGTGGCTATTCGTTCGGAGTAAGTAGTGAATATCAGCATTGATCAGACGTGGTAGCAAGTAGATAAAACAAGTTGATACTCGGCCAAATTCTTACGATTACAGCTTTCGATTTAACGTTCTAGAATAATTGCAAAGTATAACAATGTTTTATGTTGAATCTACAAAGTAATTATATATTTGTTTCGTTTGATTTGATATTTATTAATTAAAATTCATAATTTTTGCTTTAGCATTAAACGATAAGAAAGTTTTTAATCTAACACAAGGATTAAATTATAATTTTTTATACTTATGTTCTTTTGTAAATGAAATAATAATACCTTGCAAGGACATAATAGAAAAAAAAGAAAACGTCTGCGAAGTTGAAGGGCAACAAAGTATTATATAATCCACCTGCAATTATCATGCTACGTAACTCATGATTGCACTGTAAATTCGTCCGATATGGTCTAAATAAAAAATGGAGCACGATAAAAGGTGGCAGACAAAGTGAGAGGCGCACGTGCGACGAGAGACACAATTAAAGTGAGAAAGAAAGAGAAAAAAACAATATATGTGTAAGGTTTCGACTTTCACCAAATAAACCAGGGCTGCAGCCGCGACCATCGAAGAACCGCGCCCAATGTCACTATGTACCTTCTCGTAATCGCGCCCCGTATTACGTATCTATATATACATATATACAGACCATTCAAGAAACCGGTTCACTTTTTGATATACCGCTTTGGAAGTCTAAAGAATTCGACCAAATCAACAAAATGACAGCTGAAGGCTATGGATTTCTTTATCGATTTTAATTATTATATAAAAACGTATTCGCGAAAATATTTTTCATTAGTTTTTCTTTTTGTTAAACTATTTATATATTTTATTCAAAATCTACGATATGTGGTTAAATGCATATTCAATTTTCAATCTAACAGCTTGAAATAAATACCTACATGTACTATGAAGAGTAAAAAGAACAAAGAACATAGTCTAACGTCGAATAATATATAAAATCTGATTTAAACTAGAATAACAATAACGATAAAAACGTGAATGTATTCTAACAATATATAAAATGATATGAGCTAAAATAAATGAAAAATTTAGAAATGACTCTTACTCGATAGTTTTTAATTTTGTTCAACTTTGTAATCCGCCTACATACACTCACGCACCTATATTCGCACACACCTCATGCATATGTATATATGTACTTCCAAAAATTACGAGTGCGCTCCGTTTCCTTTCGATTGCATAATATTTTAAATCGTGTACTGGAATTTGGACTCCTTTCTCCCTCGTTAACGAATTCGGCCTGTGCAATCAGTAACGATCACAACCATATTATCTTCAAGAAATACCCACGTGAAATTTCTTATTTTTCTATCATTTTATTTAACTTAATCTGAAATTCATAAATTTGTTATGTCCTTTTATGTCCTCGGATAGTATCGCAAAGTACTGCCAAGGATAATTGAAGAAAGGATCAAGGAAAATTACATATAAAAAACCAATCAGCTCAATGATATCAATAACTTACTTAAATAATGATCAAGACTTGGTCATTTGCATGCAATACAAAAAATATTTAGAAAAATTCTTGTTTATAGCTATAATTACATGCGTAATAAAATTTCCGCTCATTACTTTATTACATTCATTTTGAATCATCATATTTTTCTCCGAATTTTTTATAGACAAGATCCTGAAATAACCTAAGTTACAATTAACAATTTACCTGCATTAAAATAATGTATAATTTCATGGTAAGCACCAACGATTTCTTCGAATCGAAGCATGTAAGCGATAAACGATCCTTTCAAGCTGTCGTGTCGGTAGACGTTCGCAATTCGGATCAACGATGTTGGATTACAGAGTGTATCTTTCATGTGTCAGAAGGCGTTCAAGAAAGAACAGTCAAAAAACGGAGAAAGTGGGTCAATTTAGGTAATCGTCAAAAAGAACTCAAACTATGGATATCACTTTTTAGTAGAGGAGAACTTAACCCTTTGATCAAGAATATCAAGAAAGAAGAGTAACTTATGATAAATAATATTCAAGCAAATTTTAAGACGTAATGATATATATATATATACATTGTCCTCACAGTGATAATAATATAAATAAGCTTATTTAAAAATAGAAAGAAAAATAAAGAAAAAGAAGAGAGAAAGAGAGATCGGGGTTGTGGTAGAGACAAATCAAAAAATTAGATTAGTAACTCAATTTAATCAGTCACATTTAGTCTGCTAATAAAAATAAATAAGATTCGGCCTTAGTCGACAACAACTTGGTACGTTAGGGCAAAAGTGGACTTAGTGGTAGAGAGCTGGGGCGGCATAGGAGAAGGCTGGAGCAGAATAAGAAACGGCTGGTGCGAACTTGGCAAGAGGAGCAGGGTGTGCGGCGTAGGCGATGGGTGCGGCATGGGCGGCGTAAGTAACGGCTGGGGCAGCGGCCAACTTGGCGTAGGCTGGAGCTGCGGCGTAGCTGAGGGCTGGAGCTGCGGCGTAGCTGAGGGCTGGAGCTGCGGCGTAGCTGATGGCTGGGGCAGCAGCAAGTTTAGCGTATGCTGGGGCTGCAGCATAGGCTAAAGGAGCAGCATGAGCGATGGGGGCGGCAGCAAGTTTAGCTACAGGTGCAGCATAGGCCAAAGGAGCAGCGTGGGCGACGTGGGCGACTGGGGTTGCAACGTGAGCTACTGGAGCAGCTGCTACGGCTTTGACGGCAACGGTGGCAGGTTCTTTGCGTACAACGGCGTTGAATCCATTTACGGGATCAGCAGTGTAGTCGACGGTGCGTCTGGAGCCATCAGCTTCGAGAAGAGAGTAGCTACCCTGAACGACATCACCATCACGAGTCTCCTGTTGGCTCTTGGCATCTCCAGTCAAGCTGTCGTGGACATCATAAGCGTAACTGTATTGGGGATGTGGGTCGAAGTCGGCATCAACAGCTTTAGCTACTACAGCTTTAGCTACTGGAGCCACCGCTACTGGTGCCGCAGCATAAGCTACAGGAGCAGATGGGATGAAGCCGGCATTAGCGGCGGCCACGAGGGCGGCGAGGACTACGAACTGAAAGAAAGAAGATAATTCGTTAGAAAAACTTTACATAGACAAATATTGTTCTAATATTCTAGCTTATGTTGCAGACAGGATACCCTATGGGCACTGGGCACTAGATGTTTGTAAAATAAGAGCTGTATCGATCCTTTACCCACCTTGAAGGCCATTGTTGAATAGACTTGGTTTGTTTGGATCGACTAAGCGACTGATGATGTCCAACGTTAATCCTCGCTTGCTTATATACTCGAGTTCGCGCGGTTACTCTTTCCCCCACTATCACTTTTGACTTACCGGACTTCGAAAGTTCGACAAAGCTGATAGCGACTAAAGCTGATCGCACTTGAACTTGGTCAGTGTCAATTTTATATGATCTATATATTCGTGTCAATTATTTTCAAAAGCATCAAGAGATTGTTAAAATTGTAGCATCTCTAAGATTAGTATTATTTTATGTGAATACAATGATCATTAATAATTAATTGGAATTTCTTTTAACTAAAAAGTATATACATATTGTAATGAAGTAAAAAAGACTTACAGTTCATTTGAGATCTTTAAAGAATATTCAGAAATATTAAAAACATTAACTTATATTCTTAATTTGTCAAAGTTACTAGCAGACGAAGATTTTTTGCTAACGAATAAAGCAATAATGATCTTGTTTAGTTTATCTATTTCTCTTGAAGCTGATAGCTTCAAGCTTAAGGCATAAAACAATTATTAACATTAAAAGTATTAAAGCAATCATTGTCTTGATATAGGTACAATCTTTTACTACACTAGCAATTATTAATTGATATATATTAAAATATTCTTATATAAATTTAACTTTCAACATAATTTATATCAAAATAAAAGCTCCATTCAAAATGAAAAGATTAAAGTTGCATTATGTAAATGGCAACTTTCTACTGAATATCTTATTGCTTCTAACATAGTTCACTTAATTTAATATAGAAAATCACGTATGATATATAACATACATCAAAATTATGCAGAAGTAGAGTGGAAATAAATGAGAATAAATAATATTGTGTGTGTGTGTTACTATATTATCTCTTTGTAATTTCTTAGCATTTTTGGCAGCAAACAGATCGAAAGGATATCCTTTCTTTGTTCCTCTCGCATAAGTTTCAAGCTTGATGCCACGTATCAAAAATCGCGAACGATGGTGCGTCGCGAAAGTTTCGAAGGAAACGTGTCAGTCTGTATGTCCTGAACAACGAAGAACTACCTTTTCGGTTACGTCATATCTAACGTTACACCAGGCGGGATCACCAGAAATAAGTGGAGCACTTTCATAAAGAAAAAATAGGTGGGCTGCCGAATTGGTGGTACGCTCCAATCGATTGACAGCCTGCGGCTTCGGAAATTGTATCGTGTCGATCGAAAATCAAGATTTCGCTGGTTCGACGTCTTTTGTCATGGCAATACGCCCAGGAAGACTTAAGAAACTCGAGCGAAATCTGAATTTTAATGCGGCGATATAGCTTTAACTAGATTCATCTAGATCACACTATGTTCTTTCTATATCCGTGTATGTCGAATCGAATTTACATGCATGAGTTTCTTTTTTCTTACAAGTCTTTCTACGCATAATCGAGAATTTGAACAAATTTCAAAAAAGTCCATAAAAAACAATATGTAACAGGTACTAAAATATATCCATATATGGATCCGGATCCAGTTCGATCGGGTCCTTTGTCCTATAGCCTTATGCTTTTTTTTCTTTCTTTTATATTAATTAAAAAAAACAACAAAAGCAGTCGGCTTTGATTTCACCAAATATGGTAGTGCTCAAGGCCGAAGAAGGAAGTTTGTGTACTATTGACCGACGACGAATTATATACCGGATATACTTCGGTAATCCTAATATACTACCTTCAATCTTTTAAAGAAATATAATATCCTAATTTAAATCTTATTATTTAAGATCAACTAAATGATAAAAGCTCTTTATTGCTCTTAATTCATTTAATAGATTGAATTATAGTTAAATATTACATCTAAAGCATATGTCTAGAGACTTTAATGAGTGCAATTGCAAAAGACATAAATATTTCATCAAAACTTCTCCGAAAGAATAGTACAAAGGAGAAAGTAGAATATAGAAAATATTATGAGGGTAAAAAAAAATAATAGATGGTTAGAAAATGAAATCAAAATAGAAAGACGGGTAGACAGATAGACTGGTAATTAAATATCTCGATAAACGGATCGAATGACAAGGTCGAAAAGAAAGGCGATATTCGAAAGAAAGGTCCGTGTTACAATTAAGTAACTCGAAGCAAGGACGCGGCCCAGTACGAAACGATGGTTCCTCCATGGTGCTGATGATCCAACCATCGCCGGCTGGTCGTATTGGGCGTGGTCCGATTTCTTGCTCAATTTCGTATCGCTCCGTGGCCGCGAATCGGTTGACCGTCGAAAGAACCGTCACCCGGTTACGTCAGCTGCCCCGTAGGCCCTGTTCCATCGAGTATAAAAGCCGAAAACCATCCATCCATAGCATCATTCGCATCACAAACTAGCAGATCGACAGATCTACCAATTCACTCGAAGAACAATGGCCTTCAAGGTATAACGAAAGAACGCTTTTATTCGTATTGAAAAATTGTGAATAGTAGTCACTTTCGTTCTCTCTTGGTTACATCGTGTAAATCATCGTTGTCTTCATGAAAGAAAGTACAGAAATCGGTCGTAATACGAAACAATCGTAATCCTTAGAATGACGCCGCGAATGTAATCTATTCGAAAGCGAAACACGATTAGCATTTTGATCGTTTGGGACATACAAATCCGGGAGACAAACTAAGCAAACACATATAAAAAAAAACCTAGGAAAAATCATTAAGTCGAGCTAAATAAATTAAATATTCGAAGTGTTTTCTAATTAATAAATTTATTTTTTTCTTTCAGTTCGTAGTCCTCGCCGCCCTCGTGGCCGCCGCTAATGCCGGCTTCATCCCATCTGCTCCTGTAGCTTATGCTGCAGCACCAGTAGCGGTGGCTCCAGTAGCTAAAGCTGTAGTAGCTAAAGCTGTTGATACCGATTTCGACCCACATCCCCAATACAGTTACGCTTATGATGTCCACGACAGCTTGACTGGAGATGCCAAGAGCCAACATGAGACTCGTGATGGTGATGTCGTTCAGGGTAGCTACTCTCTTCTCGAAGCTGATGGCTCTAGACGCACCGTCGACTACACTGCTGACCCCGTAAATGGATTCAACGCCGTTGTACGCAAAGAACCTGCCACCGTTGCCGTCAAAGCCGTAGCAGCTGCTCCAGTAGCTCACGTTGCAACCCCAGTCGCCCATGTCGCCCATGCTGCTCCTCTGACCTATGCCGCACCAGTAGCCAAATTCGCTGCAGCTCCCATCGCCCACGCCGCTCCCCTTGCCTACGCCGCACCCATAGCTAAATTGGCAACCCCTGTTGCGTACGCACAAGCACCCCCGGCCTTCTACCACTGAACCGATCTCTTCACTCGTCTCTTGTTAGGAATAATGTTTGATCAATAAATTTGTATTATAGCAATTACGTACAAAAATTGCCTTTCTCTTTAGACCTTAATATTACCCTTTTACCTTATCACCATATTTTTTCATATTAAGTATTTTTTTATTGTTGTAAAAAAATTTACATATCAATTAAAAGTCTTGCGACTATAATTAACGTTTCTCCGTGCGATCTCCTAAAAAGAAAACGCAAGTAGAAATTTGGTAAACGAGCTCGGTTTGCGCAGTTTCATGGGCATCGTTTTTCGAATACTTTCTCCAACAACGCTAAGTACCAATCATTGCACAACGTAACCACGCCCCACACCTCCACCCAGCAAACGCACATGGAGCGTCGTCTTAATGCGCGTAATATAAGATATTGCGTTACTCGGGAACTCCTGGCGAACCAGATTCGCGCAACGACTTGAACCTTGATCTACTTACAGTTAACATATCCTCCTCCCCGATATATTTCGCGGTACTTCAACGTCTTCAAGCCTTAATTTCTTGAAACGTTGAATATAGCAACATCTTTATCGTTTATCCATAAAAAAATAATAATTCTATTATATAATAACAAAGAAAATGTGTTGTACGTTTTTTTGAAATTGTCTTTTTCATTTTTTTTTTACAATTTTCATTTTGTACTCTAAAATATAATTAGAAAAATTTCATAAAAAATATAATTTATCTGTTACGCTCTATCCGGCGGAGCTAATCTGAAAAAAAATAGAAATATAAACTTATTTATCTATTCTGCGTTCTGTTGTATTACAAAAATAATACAAGATATACTTACTGATGTATCGTTACGAAATCTTCTGCTAGTATATTTGATGTGTCCAAAGGTGTAAGGAAAGTGAATTGACATTGAGGATGTGATTTTGTGTAATCTAATAAAATATCCATTATCACTCGTCGATTTACTTTATCCTAGAATAAAATATTAGAAGTAAACATAGTAAACGTCACATAGAGTGTAGATAATACTTAATATAAAAAATGATCGAGACATACCATAAATACATCAAATTCATCCAGAAAATAGAATGGTAAGTTAGTACAGTCCCAAAGAGCTAACATGAAAGCTACTGTAGAATAAGATCTTTCCCCACCGGATAATGATCTAGTATCATTAACTGATCTTTGGTTATCATTTTCAGGACTTACTTTTAGTGTTAATAATTTATGTACATGATCGATGTTTATACTACCCTGAAAAAATAATCATTTCGTTATGTCATAGCTAAGCGAACAAAATGAAATTTGTAAAATAAAATATAAATCTTCGTACCTTATATTTTCTAAGTGCTAATATAGTAGAAAAAGAATTTTTTACTTTTACGCCAATAGCTTCTTTCATATCTTCATACAGTTTTTTCCGTATTTGAAGACGTTGCAACTGATTCTATAAATACAATTTCATATATATATATATATAACAATTTCATAAAATTAAAAATTTAATTGTGTAAATAACTTACTTTATTGTTCTCTTCAATGACAGAAGAAAATTCAATTACGCTACTGAATTTTTCATTCAGGTTTTTTAACTTTTTAGATAATTTTTCTTTAGAATCCAACGATCGTTCAACTTCATGAATTTTTCCTTTCAAACTCTTATAAAGGTTCTGAATTTCATTGACCGTTCTATAGGATAAGATTATTTAAAATTACAATGTAATTTCATCTATATACGTATGTAAAAGATTTAATTATATGAAGAAAAAAGAAATAGCAAAAAAAGTTTCAACCTGTGTGTGTTTATCCTTGAGCAACATTTCATCGCATTTTCTTCCGCTTTATTTTTTATTTTTTGTTGATTTTCTAACTCTACAACGGCACTTTGTATGACTTCTTTTGTTTTCTCTAAAGTACGGGCTGATTGTTGACCTTTTAAATGAAGCATTTCTTTTTCATCTTTAAGACGACGAATTTCTTCCTGTCAAATCACATTTTTAAAATAGATCAAAATAAATAATTTTACAAATATATTAAAAAACAAATATATAATATAATAATTTACCTTCAAAGGATTGACTTTCAATTCTAAGCCGTATCTTAATTCTCTATAATTTTTAATCTCTATATCTAAATTATTAATACTCCTTTCCAGTTTTTCTATCTCTATACTAAAGCGTTCTTCTTCAGATTTTTTATTTTGAAGTTTTTTTTCTAACTCTAATAATTCAGTTTGCTATAAAAAAATAAATGAAATATATTATCTAATACATATCTTATTTTACACGTGATTTACTTTAAATTATACTAACAAATACGGTTATAGATGTAGCTTCACTCGCTTTCATCTTATCTGTTAAATCATTAATTGCTGCTTTATATTTATCTCGTGCTAAATGTAATTGTTTTACTTTAACATTAACATCTGCTAACTCTCGATTTGTCCTTTCTTTCTCTTCACATAGATTTGCATATAATTTTGTAATAACATTTTTTTCTTCTTCGATGATGGAGAGTTCTTCCTCTAATTGACTATCGGAAAATACAACTTATAAGATATTTTTAATTACTAGTACAAATAAAAATATAAATATAAAATATAAATATAATCACTTAATGGCTTCTGCGGTGGATATTTGAAGATACTTCGCCTTTATTCCCCTTTTTGCCCCGTAAGTTTTATAATTTGGATCTGGATAATACAAATCACCTTGTTGAGTTATAGCTTTTTTACAATTAAGTGGAACTTTACTTGCATCGGACATAATTTCACACGCTTCTGAACTCGTTGGAATGAGTAATATACACTCGATCTCCCATTGATCTATTAAACAATTGGCTACAACAGGATCCGATATATCCATTGCCTCTAACATATTGAAATAGTTGGATGAATGTGTACAATGTTGACTAACATCATGAACCTAAAAAAAAACGTAAATTGTTATTATTCATATTATTTCTTATTTATGTTTTATCACAGTTATTTGACTTACTTTACTAAAAAATTTACTATAGACAATTTGAGGCGCTCTTTCGTTAAGATAAACTTCTTCCATGATCTTAGTAAGAATTTTAGCATCGTCACTATTATCTGCACAAAATGTAGTAAGACAGTTAGCACCCAAAAAATTTTCCACAGCAGGAATCCATTCTCGGTCTTTCATTTTTACATGTGCACCTGTTTAATAATTGAGTATACAAAAACATTTAATATGTAATATAATTTAAATATTTTATATGTAAATATTAATTAAAAATATTATTTTAACAAACCTAAAGGACCACGAGGTACCATTCTGAATCGTCCTTTTCTATTTTCTTCTTCGATACGTTTAAGAAGTCGTGGTATATTTGGTCCGAAGACAATTAAAGCATTATCAGATTGCTGCTTTAAAATTTGTATTTCTCGTTTGAGATTGCCTTTTTTTAAATATAAAAACGATAAATTGTACAACATAAAAATTAAAATATTTCATTCAATGTATTAATAATATTTATACATACGAATCCGAACTTCATTATTATCCATTTCGATTCTTTTTGATTGTACTTCTTGGGAACGTTTTATTTTATTTGTTTCTAAATGCATTAAATCAGTTTCCTTCGTACGTAACATAGCTTCAACTTCATCAAATTTATTTTGCAAATCCTCCAGACTTTGTTTTATCTTGTTTCTTTCATCCTGATTATCATCTCCGCTATATTTATAAATAAGTATTAAAAATAGAAAAATTTTTAATGCTAACAGAAATAATCATGTATATACTAATAATAGACATTTTTATAATTATTCTATTTTATATTATTTACATCATCTTACCACAATTACAATCAACTTACCATTCTAGCCGTTGGATTTCTTTACGAAGTAAATTAATATCATCCTCCAAATATTTCGTTTTCGCTTGTACAACACGCAATTCTTTTATTTTATCGGAATGTGTTTCTTTTTCCATATTATATTTATTTTTAATATCTTTGAATTCATTTGAACTATCTGAAACCTTTTTTTCAGCAATCTGTATTTCATTTTGTAATTGCCTACAAAATGAAAATAATATATAAAAAAAATTGTTAAATAAATATATATATTCTTTTTTAATATATTATATCTTACATAATTTTTTCAGTAATTTCTTTATCTTTGAATTCCATTGATCCGGAAGTTTCTTCAAGCTCTTGTAATTTCTGTTTGCACTTCTGCAGATTTTCTTCATAATGTTGCAATTTTGCCTCCTCTGATATAACCTAGTTAAAGATATTTACTTTAAACAATGTTCTAATATCTTTATTATTATTTTTGTTCACAGCTTACAAATAAACAAATAAACAATAAGATATTAATATAAATTAAAAATAAAAATAATATATTAACTTACAATAGCCCACTGTAATTCCATATGTAAATCTTCCAATTCATCTTTTAATCTATCAACTTGATTTAATAGTTCTATTTTTTCTTTAAGTTCATCCACTTCTTCTTTTGTTTTATGTAATATCTATAAAATTTGCTTAGTTTATTTTTAATTTTATCAGAAATTAAATTATTATTAATATCATTAAAAAATATATGTATACCTCGTTAGCCTGTTTTAATTTTTCCTTTGCTTCTTCGCTAGAAATTAAAGCTTCTCTATAATTATTTCCAATAACATCTAAGCGTGTAGCTTTCATAAATAGTTCATATTTCTCTTCATCTCTCGATGATACTAAAAATGTTTTAGACATATCTTGATTCAATATTGAAATAGGATTATCTATTTGTATGTTCATTGCGTATAATAAATTTTCCAATTCAGTACGCTTCGTTGAAACGACTTCACCTGTAAAACACATATAATAAACAAATCATTACTGCGAAATAATGAATGTAAAAAACAAAAATGTACATACCTTTCCAATTTTTAATTTTATATCCAGAACGCTTGCCTATGTACCGAACAACTGTTATTAAATCACCATATATATCATGTTTATAAGCCATAAGACCTTGATTAATTAACGTTATTTCTATGAGAGCGTCACTTTTACCTTTCTTAATGAAATCTATTGAATATATCAAAATTAAATATGTGTACAAATATAAAATTCTTTAACTTTAATATTTATAATATTATATTATATCCTTACCTTTAACGGATACACCTCTACTAGTAACGTTTGCTCTAGCTCCAAGTCCTACCGTTAAAGCAGTTAATATAGCACTTTTTCCACTTCCATTTCTTCCCACAATAAAATTAACATTTTCATTAAGTTTTACTTGCATAGCATCATGACACATAAAATTCTGCATAGCAACTCTGGTGATTTTACCAATAGTACACTGCAACAGAAAAATAAAATAGTTTGTTTATTACTTAAAATATAAATATATATTAGTAAATAAAATCTGATTGAATAAACAATTTTATATTGTTATTGTTTTATTTTTTACTAATAATAATTATTATTCATTAAATATTTTTTTTTTCATTAAATATTGTAACTACAAAATAATTACCTCTTGCATAGAAGTGTCATCATTAAGATTCCTCGATCTTTTTTCATTATTATTTTCATATGCTATATTTTTTCTTTTTGTTCTCATTCTTTCTTCTCTTCCCATCTCAAAATTTTTAATTGTATAATTAAAAAAGAAAACAACGGTAGAAAACTCACTCAAATTATAAAATAAACAATAAACAAGCCAACTTTATCGTTATCATACAACCTTACATTGAATAAATTTCTAATAACTTTGGTTGTATTTTTACTCTCACTATTATTTATGTTATATAATATTATATACTACTATTATTTAACATAAAACAATAAAGTTTGATATAGAATTTGTATAAAGAACACGGAAATAATTCCCGCCAGGTTGCCATTATTATTACTATAAATTAAAAGTTTAGGTTCGTTCCAAAACCTATTGAAAAACGACCTAACTGCACATTCTAACCAATAATTGTTCTCTAATTTGATTGGTCATTTAAATAACAGTGAAATAATGTAGGAACCAATAGAAAATTCCTATCACCTAAAGACCCTGTAGGAGGGACGCGCCATGTGGATTACAAGGCTGAAAATGTGGGGGGACAGCTTCCGTTGCATCGCGCAGCCATGTTTATCTTTAGTACGTATTAACGGTTGTGGTTAGTTTAAATTTGGAATACTTATAGTTTTTATTGTGATATTTATATTTTGTTGTTTTGTTTTTTTTAGTAGTTTTCTATAAGTGTAAGTTTAATTTACTCATTTAATAATTACAAGTATAAATGTACAAACCTAACCTATAACTTATCGTTTGTTTACAGACTTATCGCCTTTTATCAAATCAAACTTAATTGAATGTTTCTTATTGAATTTATAATAATTTTTTTGTGTAACCTGTTCTATTTTAATATAAATTTTTAATTATCATTAAATATAGTTCTTTTTTTTCTGTATTTGATGCAATTCATTATTTCATAATTATTTCAATGTTTGAATATTTCGCGCGCAATCACGTGACTTCACTAGTTTCTGTCCCCCAGCAATCTACATGGCGCGTCCCTCCTATAGGGTCTCTACTATCACCTAGTGAAAGTAGCGACACAGGCAACAGCAGAAATTTGCGTTAGCATCTCAAAACACTATCGATATCTCGCAAGAATCAATATCTAAGAGAAAAACAACTCGAAGAATCGAGATATACAACATTGTAGTATAACCAATAAAATGATATAAAAAAAGTCCACATGTTCTATTTTTCATCCCTAGTTTTCTTAAATTTTGACGCATATCCAAATAAATGATTATAATAATTAAGAGAAAAATCATATCATGAATTTTTTTTTTTAATTAATATGTATTTTAATAAGATGTCTTTACGTAAGGTATTTAATCAAATGTTTTTTTGAATTGTTTTTTTCTCACAGATAAAACACAAGGATCATTCTTAATTTCTTTTTCATCTAATTTTTTGTTTTCGAGTAAATGCAATAATGTATCTGCTGTTGTCATTTCTAGATCTGTAGTAATATAAGCTAAAAATAAATTAACGAAGAATGAGTTTTCACCAGTTTGTTGTATAGTAATAATTTTATACAGTAATAAATATACTAACGAAATTGATCTAAAAGTTGTTCAAAATAACGATTTGTTCCCCAACGTGGTCTTATTTCATTTTCTGATATTTCCCTTGTTTTATTTCTAAAAAATATGATTTTAATTAAATTAATAAGTAATTATTTGTATCCAATCTATATGATCATTGTAAAGAGTACTCTTTTTCTTGTTGTAAATCAATTTCCTTGGACATTTTATATTTAAGAGAATCTTTGTGTCCAGATACTTTTTTTCTATTCCAATTGTTTTTCAATAATCTAGTTTTATTTTGTGTCCACCTATGCAATTTTTTAAGCAAATCTATTTTTACAGGTAATAATTACAAAATAATAATAGTTCTACAAAAATTTAATGAATATTCACATACAATGGTAAAGGTTCATTAGATATAGCGTAATAACCATGTAATCCAAAATTAGGTATTTCCTGAATTGCAGCGAATTCGGACATACCACTTCCTATTACAGTATAAATTGAAGGAAAAGAACTTTTTTCCGTTGGAATTAATAATTTTATCATGTCCATTGCCTAACAGAATACATTATATACTATATATACACTGGGCTTTGTAATATTTGTTAAGTTGGTTTTACGATATCAATATAAATATAATCTTGATGCATTAGAAATCAAATCTCTATTACATTATGTATATTCTTTTGTAAAAAGTTAATAAAATATAATAAACAAATTTATTATCGCTCAATGAAGAAATTGTTAATTTTATTATTGACAAACCGTATTCATCTCTGGATACTGTGGAAGTGAACCTTCAGGTGGATATTTTGCAAAAATACCTGTAAGGTTATTTTTCTGTAGCGCAAATAACAATAATTTCAAATATTCAACATGAAGATTGTCCTTCGGAACACTTTCGTTTATTTCAGTTAATTTGTTCAACCATAATGCAGCCATTACACGATCTACATGTGCACAGAATTTTGAAAAGAATTTAAGAAAGTTGTCAAATGAAATAAATTTACCTTTGAGATATGGTAGGTTAAGGATGATAGGTTTTGTAAATTTTAAATAAAAAGTAAAATCATCCATGTCATTGATTATAATGAAATGCAAAATGTTTTTGATATAAATAGATATATTATGTATACAAATGATTTATAATTTTTTTGATTCGATATCAAAAAATAACCTATATATTTTATTTTCAATTATTACTCAACATCGTTAGAAATTTTCTTTTCGTAAAAATAAATGCATTACGTTATTGTGAAATATGCAAAACGATATATTCGATATCTTATTTTGATTTCATAAAAGATGCGCAATATGGATGTGCATAATACATGGAACAGTTATATTATCTACATCTGTCCAATCAGAGAAGCTTACAACGATCCTTTAAAATTTTGAACGGTCTGGCTGGAGATGGTCGTTGGTTAATCGTTTGCCTATAGTAAGCTATAAGTCGATTCTGGAAGGATACGTCTAGTTTCTTCATCAACAACCTGTTGATTTGTATTGTAGTGGTGTATTGCATTTTTCATCCATGTTCGCTGCCTTGATGATCTCATAAATGAATTTATGAATTTATCAAAAATGGATAATAACGAAAATATACCTAAGTATAAGTGGACGCCTGAAAGTACATCATTATTAGTTTCTATATGGTCAGATAACCAAGTGCAAAACCAATTTGAATATGCTACAAAAACAATACTTATATGGGAGAGCATAGCCAGATATATGAAAAAGAAAGGATATAATGTTTCAGCGAAGCAATGTCGTTCAAGAATGAAACAAGTGTTAATATGTTATCGTGAAGCAAAAAAAGCAGGTACTCGTGCTGATGTAGAACAATATTATGAATTAATTGATAAGGTTACTAGAGGTAAACGCTTGGATAATAATATTGATAATGGAATCGATACAGTAGGTTAGTATCAATAATAGTCAATTTTAATTTTATAATAATGAAGTCCTTTTATACTTGCTCTGTTTATATATATATGCTTCTATTTAGATAGCACAATAAATATGAAATCTCTACCGAAAGATGTGAAATCATCTAAAAACTTCCAAATGCAGTATAAGGGAAAAGAACCAGTAAAATCTATTCTTCGTACAGAAGCTCTATCTCCAACATGGACAATTGGTTGTAAGAATACTTTTTATTGTAATTTGGTATGTAAGAGCATTTCAAAATTATATAAACTATAATTATATGTTAATAATAGGTGAATTCGAATATCCTGATTCTCCAGAATCAAGTGAAACTATTATAGCTAGACCCTATGGTGCCCTATCTCCTACAAGAGATGTTGCTGTTAATACTAATATGCAAGAAATGAGCACAAAGAATCAGCCCATTTCTGTTCCTATAGAAGAACCGATCAAAGAATGTAGACAAAACATATTTTCTAGTTATCCATATGGAGATATTCCTTATCAAAATAGTGTACAGAATGTACAAAATCAAATAATACAAGAAAATATGCAACATAATCAGAATTTTTTACAAAATCATATGTATAATCAAATGCAACAACAAAATATGTTTATTCCTGGTTTAGGTTTTCAAAATAACATAACCCAAGAAAGAATGCCACATTTTATTAATGAGGCAACACAAACTGCTGGTTTACCTATGATGAATCCTAATATTTTAAGGCAACAAAACCAGTTACATCAAACTGCAATGACGAATAATAGAGCAGTGCCACAAGAACCACAAAAAATTATTTATGGACAAAACATACCATCAGGTACTTACAGACGTTATCAAAATATTGTTCCAAGATCTACTACAATGGATGCAGAACAATATGGGTCTACCTTTCCGGATTACCCGCAAGATGTAACATCAAATTTAAATGTAGCTTTCTGTGAAGCAGAAAGTGATAAAAAAAAGCATAATTTGAATGAGACATATAATCGTTCATTACAAACAGATAATTTTACTCAAGTGAATCCTGAAGTTTCAGTAATAACAAATAATGCAACTTATAATGACAATAGTCTTTTATTGGACTACACAATAGATTCTCTTACTCCATCAGAAAATGATAATAAATTAAAAGATACAGCTGTAAATACAGAAAATATGCCAGATGTTCCAATAAGAAAAAAGAAAGCACAGAAGCTGGAGCAACTTGTTTTTGATGCAATTAATTCTCAAAATGATGTTGTTAATAAGGTTTTATTTCAATATTTTCATTATTAATGCAATAATATTAATGCGTATAATTTCATATATATTTACTTAATAATTTTGTTTCAGATACTTGCAGCACAAAATGATATGGTATGTAAATTTTTGACCTTAGATAGAGATCGACAAAGTAAATTAGAAGATCGGTTAGATCATTTATTGGATGTTGTTCATACTAAAGTCCTTAATAAAAATGCTAACGAAGAATTAGAAAATCAGCCATCTTCTGAAGAACCAGCTATAATTACTTTAGGTCCACCACCAAAACCAGGAGCGATTCCTCCGAAATTGGATTTAGTTCCTCCAAAACCATGTCGTGTACCTTGTACGATACCAAGCTCTAATGTTGAATTAGTTAATAAGAATCCTATATTAACAAAACCTGGTATTGTTTCACCAATAACCAGTCCATCAAAAAAACCAGGTACAATTTGGTCGAAATTGGGACCTGTATCACAATCTCCATTTGTTAAAGCTCAACAAAGATTGGGACTACAACCTATTTTAAATACAGAAATACGAACGAAATCTTCGGCAGAAAGACGTATTGCTAAAGAAGTTGGCAACATTAAATTTGACACAAAAACATTAATAACTGAAACGACTACATTTTTAGAAATGGAAAGACAAATTGAGGAAAAAATTGAGAATGCAAGACTCCAGCAAAGCATAGGACAAAGCTTACATGCACGAAGAAAGTTATTTACACAAAGAGAGCCTACAGCAGCAATGATACTTACAGCTGCTTTCTTAGAAACAGAACGACAAATGTCAGAAAAGTTTTCGAGTTGTTTAATACCTGCAAATTCAAATAAAAGTAATTTTAATAAAGCAATAGATGAAAGTTTACTTACTGGTCAAGGTGAACATTATGAATATTTACGACATTTAAATCAACCTAATATTCAATCATGCTATGTACCATGTGATACTTCTACACCAGCTAAAGTAGTAACAAACTCTAAATATCCAGAAGAACCTCATAAAGTAGTACCTAAACAGACAATTCAGCAATTAGCTCAACTTGTAATGAATAGCGCAAGATGGAGAAATCTTCCTACTCAAAATGAAGAATTTAGGGAACAAGAAAGAAAACAAAATACTTATATTGCTCCGAAAATGAATGTTCAACTTCCTTCAGAAATAAAAGAAGAGAAGCAAGATGTTCGTAGAGGAATTCTATATAATCATAACATTTATTCTACAGACCCAGTAAATGAACAGCCGAATATATACAAGTCTTCATTGCATACTGAACCACCATCACAAAAGCCTGTGCTTCCTATGGGTTTTACTACTACTATGTTAAATAAAGATAATGAGCTTGTAAAAAATACTAAATCCATAGAATTACTGGATAATATAGTTGATCGGAAACAGCCAAATGTGCGTTTTATGGACGAAGCTTTAGCGGAACTTCAAAGAATGTACATTGAAAAAAATAATAATGGACCACAAAAGACAACTGAGATTTCACCAGTTTTTACAAATAATGATAATTTTAATGGCTATAATCAAAATATGATCGAACGATATATACGTGAAATATCAAGAAAACAGTTTGGAAATGTTAAAGATAAGGAGGGTGATTCGGATGATGAAGAGTTTTTGGATACTACAGCAAGCATGCCTCCAATAATTAAACGCAGAGGATCTATTACTTCAACAGGTACAACATCAACTGAAACTGCTCATTCAATGAAATTAAACAAGCTAACTGCTGCAAATTGTATAATTAGTTAACTCTAATGAAAAACACTTTGTACTTTTTTCTCGAGTTAATTTTATATCGTAGTAAGTTAGCAAACTTTTCTTTGAAAAGTAAATCATTGCATTTAGCTGAAATATTTTTAGATTTTAATTAATAGATCTGTTATCTATTTTAAAAGAATTAATTTTGAAGTTGATTATGCTTAAATAATATAATTAATAATTAAAGTGCCTTATTAATTTTTAAGTAAATATCAATATAACAAAATATTGCATTGTTATAATCAAAAATATTATATTTGTTTATAAAATGTAAAAATACCTATTTTCATTTCTCGATTTATAATTATATACATAGAAGTTATAAATATTATATTACTTTGGTAAATATTTCTTTATTACTTCTATCGTCAAAAATCATTCCATGAATTTTGTTATTACAGTGCAATTATTTTATATTAAATTTGATAAAACTATATGTGATTTATTAAAGTGAAATGAAATAAGCATAGATACAGATTCAGTTATAAGTATCAAATTTTATTTTTATTAATAAAAATTTATTTTATTTTTATTAATAAAAAATAAAATTAGCATAACTTTATTGAATTCAATTTGTATTTGCTAATTATAAAATAATGAATTATAATAATACATAATTGATTGTATCTAATGTTGTGCTTTTATGTACTTGTAACTGTGTTATTTTACTCTATCAATAAATCTTATAATTTACACCCAAATCTTTGATTATAGTGCATTCAGTCCTCAGAAGAAAAATACAAATTTTATTAAAATTTAAAACAATGTCAATATTTAATTTAATAACAATAAGAATTTATTTCTTTATAAAAAAATAGTAAACATATTTGCAATAAATTGAATGTCGAAAATTATCGAGAACACGCTATTACATAAGTACTAGAAGATAACAGATAAATTATAATAATTCTAGTAATTATTATCTGTATTCAACTATCTATACGATCAGTGGTTAAATATTTATAATAATTTTTACGACGATTGTAGAGCTGCGCGTAAAAAAACCGCATAGTCACAGTTAATATAGAAAGCGCTACTATGCGCATGCGCTAAGCTTATAGACTTGCACGATCACCGAACGATCGTCAATATCCAATCGGTAATCTGTCACTCGTAGACGATAAGCTCATGTAAAGTTTTCAGCAATTATTCTTCTCCGTATGTCGATTTGTAAGTTGCATGATAAATTTTCATTCTTCGAATCTTTAAACAATCTCGTGTGTGTTATCTTTTATCTAATAAAGACTAAACATTGACAGGAGAAACGTTGGAATATTACAAGTGAAGCATACTTTCGGAAGCCTTAACAAAGTTATTAACATGACGACGGAAGAGAAGTTTAACGCGGCTGTGAACGTAATTAGAAGCTTACCAAAAAACGGTAATTTATTCAGCAATTATAGCATATGCTAATTTATTTTTTTACTCCACAATGACGAGTTTCTATTACACATATGACAAATCAAACGAAATACATCTTTGTATTGCATAGTATAAACAATACTAAAATTTACTTTTTATAAAATCATTTGTCGAACATTTTTAATTTCATCGTTCATATTTATTATAATTTACGATGAAAGATTTGCGATAATGGTAAATGCCCTTTGAACGGTACTCTCTCACAATGGATACGGTTCTTGTCGATTAACGTCAATCATGACAAATAGAAAAAAATGCTAACATAAGAGAACGTCTCTTTTAAAATACTCTCGTAAATTTTTTCTATTACCTTATAACTAAATAAAATTAAATTTATAGATAATTACAAATAAGTAAGTCGAAACAATATTTTTTAATAAAATTACACACCTAAAAAAACCATTCATTAGAAATATGTACTAATATGAATTTATAATGAAAGTATTTCTAAAATATCCTTGAACCTTGATACTCATTACTAAACAAGTTGGCTGTTATTGTAGCAATCATTCAATTAAAATAAATATGTATACTTATATCTACTAAGAATATTAATATTTCTTTATTGAAAAGTGAAAGTTAATTCACTCTTCGAATTTTATTAACAATATACAGTGGAAATTAGTATTTAAAAATATTCCAACACTATTACCACATAAAATTTATGTAAGATAAAATAATATATAATATATTAAATGATAAACGACAGTTGTAGTGTAACGCGTATCGACCTTAATTTGTAATCTTTATTAAATGATCATTTAGCAAATATATAATTATATTATCGAATATTTGGATAGTAAAGAATACAATTAAAAACTAATTACATTATAGTTTTATCAGTTTTTGGGGAAATAAAACTATAAAGCTTATTATTCTAAAATGATTTAAGCTTCCTTCTACAAAGTTTATAAACATAAATTACGAATTATTATTATGAGTGAAAGAAATAGAAATGGGAAGTGAGAATAAATTCTATATAAATACTGCAATGATGATGAGTGAATGTTCTCACTTCACTTTCTACAATGTGGGTTGCATGAACTAGTCTATATAAAAAATTATAACTTCCCTGTGTTAGTTGAATACGAATACAATTAAATGTATATTAATTTACAAATTTTTATAATAAATATTTCAACATTATAATAACAAAAGATATATATTATATAGATTCCTATTTTATAATCAATTGTCCATAGCGTTCAATTCTATTGAAATTTGTTTTACATAGACAATAGATATTGTCTTTGCACAAAAAAAAGAAAAAAATACAAAATTAATCAAAATTTTTCTAACAGCATAAAATACAAGACCGCTCGAATTATCTCGAGTGTGCAAAATGTGGCCTGTTTAGCATGCTCGAATTAACTCGAGCGTGCAACTAAAGTGGTTGATATTAAAACTACCAAAACAGTTTATGTATTTATATATAACAGTACTTATTATAATTATATGTGAGTTATGTCAGAGTCTTAATAATTTTTCATGCATATAAGCCACTCATTTACCAAAATATTAACGGAAATGGGTGAAGTTACGTACATTATTATATTATTTCTTTTAAATATGAAAAGCTACACATCAATTAAGTGCATTTCAAATCTTAATACTAAAATTTCAAAAGATTTGAAAAGAGCTTTAATCTGCAAATGACCAATTTCTTAAATCACAGGAAAAAAAGGATTATACTTTATTCCTTCTATCCAATTACTGTGCACATGTAGAATATTTTTAGTTAGTAGTTTAGTAACCAGTTATCACTGGTTTGTGTGTAGAGAATACTTCATTATCAGTAAACATTATATACTAACCAAAGGTCAAAAGATAAAAACTGTCGTGCCTACTATTATTGTTGATAATGGCACACAGAAAATGTTACAATATAACCATTATTACTATATTATATTATATATTATGTGAATAATATTATTATATTAATTAAAATATAAATTCAATTTGATTGTAAATAACTATGTATTACATAGAAATTTGAATTTCAGGAGCTTACCAACCTAGCAATGAAATTATGCTGCGTTTTTATTCTTATTACAAACAAGCTACAGAAGGACCATGCCAACAACCAAAACCAGGTTTTTGGGAAGTTATAAAAAAAGCAAAATGGGATGCTTGGCAACGTTTAGGCAATATGAGTCGAACAGAAGCTATGAACAATTATGTTGAAGAATTAAAAAAAGTATGCGCTGGTGTTATCAATACATTAGATGTTTCTATAAAAATCAGATAATTTTTTTATTTTTATGATATAGATAGTTGAAACAATGTCATATACTGACAATGTAGCAACTTTTGTGGGTAGTTTGGATTCATTTTATGAGAGTGTACCTGTTGAAGATTTAGAATTGCTCGTTGGACCAGTTTTAGAACGTATGCGCACACAACCAGATTCGCCATTGTCTGGTTCTCCTTTAGGTTTGTTTCTATTTTTACTGTAAAAAATGTATCATATTTTTCTTTTCATATAACTTAAATACATATTTTCTTAAATCTATTTAGTATCTAGAGAAACATCACCGCACAGAGTTTGCAATACATCAAGACATATAACAAGTAGCTTAGAAACAAGTCCAGCTAGTAGTCACAGTGCAAGTCCTTTACCACCTGATACAGATGGTGAAGAAGAAGAATTTATTGATACAGTTGAAGTAAGTATTCATTTTTTTTTTTTTTTTACAAAAGTAAAACCAATATTTATAATAAATTATTCTATATGTATATATATATATATATATATATATTAGTCTGCTCCAGATCGAACACCAAAAGATGCCATTAAATCTTCTGCAAGTGTTCAAAAAACAAGTATTACATTTAGTGCTTCAGATGATAATGTAAACAAGCAGCAAAGCACTGCAAAAGAAAATCCATTAGAATTACTTAATGGTCATGCTAAGATAAATGATCTTACTGAAATAAACGTAGATACAAAACAAGAAAGAGGTCGATCAAAAGTAAAAAAAGATGATAAAATAAATGCTGAATTTTTTAACCAAATAGCATCAACAATGCAAAATTTACAAAGAGATCTTGATCGAATAACCGCACGAGTTCGTAGTTTGGAAGGCCAAGCACTTCAAGCCTTGTCACCTCTAAGAGTAAGTTCCATATAGCATAATAAAAATATAAATTAACAAGTAATTAGTTAACCTATATATAAATTATATGTTATAGGAACGAAATAACGATCGATTGTACCCAAAATGGTGGCCTTTTCCAGAATGTTCACCGCGATTGTTCACTTTACTTATTATATGGCCATTTGTAGCTCAAATTCTTGTCTCTCTTACACAACGATATCGTCAACGGAGACTGTGATTTTCCAATACAAATATTATTATTAATCTAAATATTATATTTATAATTAGAGTACATTAAATATACAGAGATTTTAGTCGTTTAAATATATATACGACATATTCTAAAAATCTTAACTCTAATGAAGAATTTGTTCATGTGAATATATTTTTTACGATATTTGATCGAATTGTAGATTTAATGAAATTAAAAAGAATTTTAAGTGCAATATATATATATATAGATTAAATATAAATCTTTTTAAATTATTAGAATATTCATTGTATAATTAAAGCCAAATTTTTAAAATGTATAATCCATGACAATAGTAATGTATATAAAGATTTATAAAAAATAATTTTCTATTATTTGTATTATATTAATCTCTGTATATATATATATATATATATATATATATATATATATATATATATATATTTGTTCTACAAAGGTGTATGTAATTGGATTTAAAGGTGAACTATATGTTATATTTATACATTTACATAATATAATATAAATATAATAGACATACAAATTTCATATTATAAATGTAAACTATAAACTTAGGATTAATTTTTATTCATATATGCAATGTTTTCGTGATGGTTCGTAATAATAAATGGTATTGGCATTATTTTTTAATAAAATTCCAGATTTTATAACTTGGTATGATTTAGTGTTTCTATGAACACTAGATTATTATAAAGAAAGTCTGAAGAAGCCGGCTAAATAATTAGAAAACAATGAATTATTAATAAAGATTTTTTAAAATATTAATAAACTTGTTGTGTCGATTAATCAGCCATTTAAACACATTTTCTCTTATCATTAACGACGGTGAGAGAGTTTAAATAATTCGTGAAAGAAATATAATTGATAAAAAATAAGTTTTAATATTAAATAAAATTTATAAAATAAATCAGAGCTGTTTATGAAAAATCCACTTTTGATTTGATAACAAACTAATAGAAAACAGTGAGAGAACAAAAACTCAATTTGATGAACGAATGATAATAATTAATGATTAATAATTATAAATAATTAATCTGAAATCGTTACAATATTAAAATGAATAATATTCTTATGATTGACGTGTTGAACTGATTGAAGACTGACTTGTTTACCATAAGACGACCGAGCTGTAACTGTCTCAAGTGTTCACATTTATTTCGAAAAAAAAGTACTTAAAGAAATAAATATAAACATAGTTCGGCCTTTAAAAGTTCGGCGTCTGTTTCCGAGATTTGTTTTCTTTTTTCTTCACGTGGCGATTCAACTTATGGTAAACTTTTCGAACTAATTTATTTCTCTGTAAGGTATTAAATTTATTATATTTTTCTTTTGCATATATTCGTCCAAAAATGTAGTCAAGACAAATATTAATCTTTTTATTATATTAACAAATTATTGTGTGATTGGATTAATTATTTTTGCCTAATTATAATTTGTTAAAAATGTTAATTTTATGCACAGATGATATATAAATATAACTTTCAAATTGATTGCTTATACTTTTCATTACTAAATAAATTAAATAATAAATACATATAATGTGAAATAAATGACAATAAATTATCACATGATTCTTACGTTTCTTTGAAATTATCTTTTAATTGAATTTGTTATTATATGCTTTTTATATAAAAAATGTAAACCATTATTAGCTTTCTAAAATAATAATAAACATTAAGATAATTACATATTAACGAGCATAGATATACAATTTGGAAGATTTATTTATGAAATGTTTTTACATATACACTGAATATTCAAACTTTTATCTCATGTTTTTAATACAATCAAAAGACTATTATATGACGAATACTACATAAGATAATATGATAAATTTCTTATTTTCTAAGTCACATATTAATTTTCATATCGATAGTAATAATAAAGATGGTTTATCATGATATTAATGATAGGCAAATAATGAGAAGATAATTACCATCACTTCAATCTTTTATTCTATAAATTCAGAAGAATTAACAATATTTATTTATTTTGCTTATTCATACGTTAAAATTTTTAGCAGTCATTTTTCGGTATTTTAGTTAATTCTAATTATTAATGTCTAGTGTAAGATTTCGAAATATATTGATAATTCTTCTGAAATTAGATATTATATCTAAATATTAAAAAATATTACGTTCGTATTAATGAAATTAATTTCCGCATGTTTTTTGATAGTTAAAAAGATTCCGATATTTCATTTAATATTTTAATTAATTTTATGATGAATTTTATGTACGTATTATAAAGGATAAGTGTGTCTTATAGTTTCTATGTTTTTGTGAAGTACAACATAACATGTATTTTGGAATGAAAAGATATCATCCACAAGAATTACGAACAATAATAATAATAATAATAATAATAATAATAATAATAATAATAATAATAATAATAGTAATAAACAGTATGTATGAGAAATACACGTTATTATTTAAGCCCGTTCACCACGAATTCGTCGAGCCAATTGGATGTCTTTCGGCATAATAGTAACACGTTTAGCATGAATTGCGCACAAGTTTGTATCTTCGAATAATCCAACCAAGTAAGCTTCAGATGCTTCTTGCAAAGCACCTATGGCTGCACTTTGGAAACGCAAATCAGTTTTGAAATCCTGTGCAATTTCACGGACTAATCTCTGGAATGGTAATTTTCTAATCAGCAACTCCGTAGATTTTTGATATCTTCTGATTTCTCGAAGAGCTACTGTACCCGGCCTATAATGAATGAATAGAATTTCTTTAATAATTGTTTAAATGTACATTTATCATACATAATTGTGAATTTTTCTTTATACCTGTAACGATGAGGCTTCTTAACACCACCTGTAGAAGGAGCACTTTTACGGGCTGCTTTTGTAGCTAGCTGTTTGCGGGGAGCTTTTCCACCAGTTGATTTACGAGCAGTTTGCTTTGTACGTGCCATGGTTTAATCTGAAATAATCACATATTATTTGTTAATAATTTTATGAAAAATTATCATATTTATATTAATTGTGATTCACGACCTACTAAAGAATGGCACCTAAAAGAACTTTCTTTCTTCTATGAACTTTTTAATAATTCTTTCCTATTTTTCCACACATTCAAAATTATATTAATTTGCAATTATAAAACTACAATTAAATCTAACAAATAGAAACGTCATGTTATAAAATATAAAAATATGTTTAGAAAATGAAAAATGTTTATATTATTAAAAAGAAAAAATAGGTATTACAAGAAGTAATATATATTTCAGATCAGCACGAAAAAGAAATGATAAAATAAACAAGACAATACAATAATAGGTAAAAGTTAAGATCACAATGATTAATGTTAACGATCAAAAATCATAAAAATAATATCAGGGAGACATAACAAACAGTCGCGAATAAAAACTGTTATAAATTGAAAAGTGTCAGAGTCGATATATGGTGGGGGAAGATTAGAGGAAAGGAAATAATCGTAGAGTGGTGGGGGTTTAATGTTTGGTGGGGGTACAATCCGTTACCGTGCGCGCTCAAAGGAAGCACGCACCAAGGAACTCCGTGCGTTGCGCAATGGACGAACTTTCGTCCCTCGCTTGGTTTAATGTGGAAAAGCCCACGCGCTGTCGATCGAAAAAATCTTCGGGAACATGATCGTAAGAAAAGTAATAAAAAAAATTATCATTAAAAAAATGTTAATAAGAAATGTTAATGGGACCGTGATGAACGAAACGAAGAGAAACAAAGACAATCAAGAGAGAGAAAGAGAGAAATAGAGAGAACAAGAGAGACAGGCAAGAATTAGTTGGCGTACCAGTCAGGCTCGTGAACGATTCTCACAACGAAACGTCAATCGCAAAATGGAGGCAAGCTCTTGCGATACGCTTCTTGTTAGTGAAGTCGAGAATTAAAAATTTTTTTTCTTCATCTTCGATATGTCTTTTGACATAATCGATAATATGACGCTATCGCGCGAAAACACGAATACAATCTGACAGTTCGCAAAAGTTAATTGGACAGCTTTTACTTACCCTTAGAAAGAAAATTGATGCAAGAAGCTGAGAGCCAACGCTATCCGCTTCCTTGTACTTCGATGGCAGTGGACGCTCTCCGAGCCACGGACTCCCTTGTCCCTACCCCCTAGAAATTAAATTGCGAGAGGTACGTAAGCCCGCGGTACAGACTATCCAATCGGACGTTGGATAGAGAGTTTTGTCTTGTAATACGAGCCGCCCGATTGGCTTATCCTTCTACATTTAGAAAATACAAAGCTGTGAACCTGTGACGATTTATTAATTGCATTCGCGTCTCTGGTTCGACATGTTACTCTTACTTTCTTACTTACAACTATACCTACGATGATTCTAGAGAAGATAAGAATTTTTTTTTTCTTTCAGAGATTTAATTTAAATGATTACATTATTTTTTTCATCAAAGTAAATGAAATCGAATAGAGCAAAATAAACAGAGTAAAAGTAAATACAAAACCTGCTTTTTTCTTAATTACCAGTTCAAGCTTTAAATCGGAAGCTACCCCTATTGCTTACACCACCTCTGATCCTCCCATACGTGGAGAAAATTGACTAATACATTACCATTTGATTTCATCATGCACATTGCGCAATGATTCTATTTCATAGAATACATTAAAGATTATCATTTACATTAAAAAAAAAGTGACGATATATACATGACTCATATATATATATAACGTATATTATATTAGCCATAATTTAAAAAAATTGTTTTTCTTTTTTCAATTAGAGAAAATAGAGAGAGAGAGAGAAATCGTGTAAATATAAAAATACCAATTAAGTATTGATATTTGTTAAACAAATATATAAATAATAATGTTTCATTTGAAATAAATGTAACAAAAATAAATTTTATACTTAAATGTAATAATTACTCTGCACACACATTATTAGGTTATCTAATTTATTTTCTATTATATTTACTACATGACATTATAAATGTCTATAATAATGATAGTTAACAGTAATAAAATATACTAAAAAATACTCATAGATGTTTATTATTATTTTATTAATCTAATGTTTAAGAAATGTAAATGCAATTCGAAATTTTCTTACATAATATTGCTTATAAACGAAATTTTACATTTACAAATCATTTTGGCCTAATATTAAAAATAAAATAATAAGGTACTTTTTCGAAACATAAATTTATGTTTTTTCACACAACATTAAATGTATGAAACTTAAATTAACATGACAAATTTCGTAAGATTGTAAAAATATGAGTTATGTTCTATCATTCTAATCTTGATACTATACATATCAAAATGTTTTGTATGACTTATTGCTTGCGTGTAATGATATAAGTTTGATTACAAATACTAATCCACTATAATCATGTTCACATACCGTAATTGGAGAAGTTAATGGCCTATTACTAAATTTTAATATTTTTCTATAATTTATTTAATAGAACAGGTAAACCTAGATTATATTTCCCCATTTATATACTACTTATAGTGCTTGGCAGTGTAGACTCTAGTGAATATTTGTGGGAAGAACTGAATTGCAACGTATTTAATTACTTTGAAGAATAATGTCGCATGACATGATAGTAAAATGAATAGAAACAGACATTGTAAATTGTTTAAAATTTAAGCACGTTCACCACGGATTCTTCGTGCTAATTGAATATCTTTAGGCATGATAGTAACACGCTTAGCATGAATAGCACATAAATTTGTGTCTTCAAATAAACCAACTAAATAAGCTTCAGATGCTTCTTGCAAAGCACCGATAGCTGCACTTTGGAAACGCAAATCAGTTTTGAAATCTTGTGCAATTTCACGAACCAATCGTTGAAATGGTAATTTCCTAATTAGCAACTCTGTAGATTTTTGATATCTTCTGATTTCTCTGAGCGCTACAGTTCCAGGCCTACAATATAAAATACAGTTATTAAATAAGTAATTTAACAAAAAAGTAATATATAATATTATGGGTAAATTATAATGTTAATCAATTAATGATATACTTTTTGATGCTTTTTTATACATACCTATAACGATGAGGTTTTTTTACACCTCCAGTAGAAGGTGCACTTTTACGTGCTGCCTTTGTAGCAAGTTGCTTTCTAGGTGCCTTTCCTCCAGTAGATTTACGAGCAGTTTGCTTCGTACGAGCCATGTTTGTCTAAAATTAATAAATTTTAACTTCACTTCACAATAATTAGATATGTATATGGGGTCAATATACCTCGTTGTTGACAAATGGCGTTGGTATAAAATAAAGTAGAAGTAATCGTCTTTATTTGAATATGCGATTGCATCAATATATGACTCACGATTAATTATAACACGTGTATCATCAGAATTATGATAATATATATATAATGACTAATTTAAATGAACTAAAAATCGTTATTTGTTTCCCTCCAAAAGCAAACCGAATAAACAAAATGGCGAAGGCGTGCACGAAGATTTTCCTTGTGTAAAACTGCGTAAGTGTGAGATAGAAGTTTGAAAAACAAAAATCGTCACGTGTAAATAATAATACGTTGCAGTTATTATCTATATTTGTATTATTCATTATTTTCTGCGAAAAATTAATGAATATAAGAATTTATTTATTTTACACTATTTACCTTAGTTTATTAGAAATCCAGAGAATATTTCCACAAGCGTTTCGTGCACAGACGATTTCAACTTCTCTACTCGATCTATTCACTCCACTCACTCTCTCGTAGCTTTATGCTACAAATCACACATGAATATAAAACTATAGTGCATGGAAGTAAGATCACCACTTACGATTGGTTAGTAGTTTGTTATGTTGGGATGCAACATCACGTGTTCAACGTACGCTGCATACAATTGGTGTCTATACTCAATGTCGACCAATCAGCGTCGCTTGCAGTGTTATAGCACCGCATGCGATGCAGTATTTTCCTAGTTGCATCCAAAATATTTTAAGTGCATCTAAATATTGTATTAGTCATAAAATGTATAGAAAAATAAGTGATATTACTAAATTGTTTAAACAATTTAAAATACATATTAAAATGATATATAAAATAATATAATAATTTATTTTTATAATTTAACCTTTTCTGCTTTCAATTCATTGTTTTATCAATGTGTTGTCTTTTTAAATAGAAAAATGAATGAATAAAGTCCACTTATCTATTTATAATTATTTTAAAAGTTTATTTTAATTTTATATAAGGATAACAATTTTTTATCTAATGTTTGATAAAGTGGATACTGCAATAATCATAACTAATTCTTGTATCAGAAAGCATATAATCTTTATATTATATACAAGCACAATAGATTTTTTTAAACATTATAAGTAATTTATATTCATCGCATTTTTCATATAAAAATGCATATAATATATTTTGAAGTATATTATAGAATAGCATAGTCTGATCAATAAAATATTTCACTTTTTATAAGTATAGCTCTTAACAAGTATAAATTAGTAATATAAATAAAATTATCTCTTATATCTTATTTTTTAGAAAAAATTTCTTTTATCCTAAAGTTGAATTTATTTATCATTATGTATCCTTATCTATCACCACTTATTTGATTTGTATCAAACTATTATCAAACTATTATAAAATACATTACTTTAATCGTAATATAATTTTACATTTAGAGCATAATCAATGTATTATATGTATAATCAATAAAACAATAAAATTATATGAAAACTTCTTTGTGATTACGTAAAAACTTGATTTTTACGTACAAGAGAATTGTATTGTTATTCGTGTACTATTTTCATATATATCTTTTGTAGAATTAAAACGATTTATTACGACTTATTAAAAATGTACATCTGCCATTATAAATAATCTATTATACCAATGTTTGGATCCTACTTATAACTATCATTTGACTCTTTATTTAATTATCACACCTATTTTTTGTAATGACAATGTTTCTACAAAATGTAACTCAATCTGATTTAAAATTATCACAATCAAAGTAATTCTATTTAATCTTAAGATATTTTATAGGAAAGTTTAGTGGAAGCATTAAAAGAAATAGAAACAATATATGTGTAATCATTAGATATAAAGTATAGAATTGTTTCTTAGTAAAGCATGAGTTTAAACTTAAGTTGAAACTTAACTAAAATTAATTTAAACTTAAGTTTAAATTATTTGAGTAGAATATTGCTAATAATATGTGTGCGTTTGTTAAGGTTAAGCAATACATTTATGTGTATTAACATAATCCTCATACAAATTAAATATAACTTACACAGAGATCCTAAAAATTGAGCCTTTCTCATTTATGATTGTAATGGTAATAGTGATCATTAATAAATTAGATACATATTACAAGGCAATGTTTTTCATATATATTTCAATACTTTTCACATAATATGAAAAAAGGATTTATTCCTTTTTTGTTTTTGATATAATTTACTTTTAATTTAAATAGCTATCTCTCTTCTCTGAATTATAAAGCTATACTTTCATTTTTGCAATTATATTTTGATAACATGTAATTATATTTACGTATCTCTGTGTAAGCTTTACTTTATATCCAACATTAATTCCTATATATATATATATATATATATATATATTAGGTGTATTCATATATTGTACCTGTATCAGGTACTGTGGACAAAAGGACGGTGAATATGTTAAAGCATAACATTAAGAAAGTACATTGCGAAACATCAACTTTAGATAATCATAATTTTAAAGAAAGTTTTTCATCTCCATGAAATTGATTTTAATATAAATATATATCACAATTTCATATTAAATAAAGTAGGAAATGGTTCCTTGATAATTTATAAAGTCTTTGTAGAATTGTTTTAACTGACATGATACATTGTCATGCATACACCCAAATTGTATATTACATATTCATAATATATTATAAAAATCATATTAATTTACATTACAATATTCGTTTCACTATATCTTGTTAGTTAATGAGAGATTTACAATATTACAAAGTAAATATTTTTTCCTTAGCACTGCTGAGAGTGCATCAAAAAATATAAAAACTAAATAGGAACCTGATTTAATAATCCTTTATATTTTATTATGGGAAAGAATCTCTAAAAATTACTATTAAAAACCACAATTTATAATGGACTTGTGTCACGCTAGATTACATGCATATGTTTTGCATAGGGTTACACATACACTTTAGTCTAATAAAATATATTATGTTTAACCAGACAAATTTTGGAATCTATATTTAATATAAAATACTTTATACTCTTCTTCACATTTGCTCTCCTTCATCAGTAGGAAATATTAATGAATCCAAGATTGTATAGACTTGTACACACTGTATCACAAATTTAGATTGAGAGATTTATTAAAAACTCTTTTATGCAAAAAGTCCTTTGAACAGAATCTTCTTTATTTTTTTATATTTACTATAAATTTGTTCCTTTTCTTATATATATAATAATTTAAATTTGGCGCATGTAGATTATCTAATAATTTCACATTATTTTTAAGTTTTTTGTATATACAGCATTTGAGTGTGTAATTATATAATTGGAAAACTACATGATATTATATATACAGAGTAATAAAAACAAATTATAAACTTAAGGAGAAAAGTAAAAATGTCCTATTAACATAGGCTCTAAAATTATCAAATTAATTTTTAATACTTAGAAATGTTACAATTCATAATCATATCAATGCATTGAAAACAAAATGATATGAATTGTAACTATGGATTATAACTAAATACTAAAAGTTGATATTGAGATTTTAGGATCTATGTTGATAGAATATATTTTACTTTTTTTTTCTGTGTATTATAACCCCTTAAAGTTTCACAATTTTTTTTTGTCACCCTTTATATATATTAATTTGATTGTATTACAATTCTTAAAATTTATAACGAAATTGAAAATAATTTATAAGAGAACAAGTAATTACCAAATATCTACCAAATATTTGTGAATTATTGTAATTTAGTTTTCGTTTTTGTCAAAAACATAGTATATATTTATAATCAAAGAATTAATCTCTTTCTTATATGCTATATTATTATTTCCTAATAATACTATGTTATATTGCTTTTCACTTCGGTCAAATATTTTTTTCCAATTTATTTATATAAGCCATATTAAAAGAGATATATTATAAATTATTATAGATTATGATTTAAAAATATTTGAAATGCAAATTTTGGTATTACAACACAAAAATGTATAACAAAATGCAATTTTAAGAATATATATTTTGTATTATTGTTAATAAATAAATATCTCTTCAGAAATTGATACTCCTTGATATATAATTACTTGCGTAAATTTTAATGTCATAATTTAGTATTATTATAAATAGTTTTTGAAAATTATAAAATTCACAAGAAGTATTGTATATATTAATTTTACTTTGCACCATATTTGATTTGACATGAATTTGTCAACAAATAAAGAATTTGTTATTAAATGTTCTCCGTATAAAATTCACAACCCTTTACTAATAAATTAATATTTAACTTAAGATACACCTATTCATATTTGGAAATGTAATGTCACTTTTGAATAAAAAATGTACAATTTAGTCATTTTACTAATTCATTGATTAAAAGTATTTGTAAATATCACAATGTTATCCTACTATTTCTTCACTATTTCTTTATATCTATATCATTAAGTCATTTTAGAAGATTCTATTCAAAAGTCAGATATATGACTATACTTTAATTCAAAGTATTTTTTTAAACAGATTTATTAAGCCTTATCAATAGAAGCATCCTTCATTATATCATCTTTAGTAATATTTTGGTTCATTTGATCATTTTCATATTCTACAAAATCATCAAATAAACTTGGCCATGCTTCTGCATCATCATAAGCACCAAGATCGTCTCCAATGCTTTCAGCAAAATTCAAAAACATGTTCCAAGTATCTCTAGGTATACCTCGAACATGATGACATTCAAGAAATTTTAACCATCTTGTTAAAAGTGGAGGTTCTCGAATTGTAAAAACAAGCCGCCAAAGGACAATAGCCATATCAGCTGGCAGTATTCGTTGACCAGAGGTAACATCCAAACCAAAGCGGAATGTGAATCGATAGAGATCCTTAAATAAATCACTATTGACCATTAATTCTTGCACAATTTCAGGTAATCTTGCCTGAATTCCACGTATACTGTCAACGCGCATAGCTTTCAACCCTGTTATAAATTCTTGACGTGTAAATTGGCACATTTGTTCAGCATTTAATTTCCAAGCTAGAACAAGCACTTTAAACTCGTCTGGGGATAATTGTAAATCATTACAAAGCCTTTCTATTCCATCAGCTAATATTACATCCTCATGTAAATCCTTTAAAGAAAACAAATAATTCAAAATAAATTAAACGTACAATCTTATATTATATTTTTATAGATGTTACAAACAATATACCTTATATTGGTCAAATAATGCATTCAATTTATTTTCCGATGGTTCTCGTTGCTGTTTAAATTCTGTGGTTAAGTTAAGACCGGAAGAGGTGCCTGAACGGCCTAGTGGAGGTAATCGTGCATAAAATCCTCGAGACAAACGTAAATTATTTTGTATACTAGGCATAGATCCACAGTTATCCGAACCTACATTATTAAGTGTAGGTACAGTATTTAATGATTTTCTGTTTCCATTGACATGTGTTTCTGCAGGCACGAGTGGACCAGTTTGTTGGCAAGAATTCGGGAATAATCCTCTTAGTTCCATTCTTTCTGTATCAAAATAAATTCATAAGAAAACTGTTTACTAATTTATATCATATTCATTTGAACCTAATAAAGATACTACCGTCTTTATGCTCATATACAATTGATTGTTCTGCGGTGGCTGGTGGAAGTGGCACCTTGAAGCAAGAAAAACAGTTTCCCATTGATGCTGTCCGTACTCGACATTAAAGATAATTATCCCATGCATCAGTAGTTCAGTCTTAGATTGGCAGTCTTGATATTAAAAGCTAAAAAATATAAGATATTTGTGTATAACATTATTAACATTATATACACACTGATATAAATTCAATTTATAACAAATGTTAACAAGATCTTTCGTGCATACAATGAGTCAAATAAGTTTCTATACGATACATTTAAAAAAAAAAATTTACATTTCAATATTTAATAATTATTATTAATTAATATTTCAAAATAATAATGAGTAGTGCTATAAATTGTGATTAATCTTTATTTAGTAGAGACATATATGGAAAACTGTTATGATTCTATTAATCGTTAACTTTTAAATGTATGTTGAGCATTGAAACAACAAAATTGAGAACAATAAGTTTCCATACACAAATATAAATAAAAATTTCGAATACAGTGAAAAAATCACACTCTGCCATCTAATATATTATAAACAAATACCAGGAGACAAAAACTTTTAATGATCAAAGACATAACGACTACCTACCAAAACTGGAAGTTTTGCATAAGCGCACATTTTTAAAGACCATTAGAACTAAACCAAAGACGACTGTTCCAAAATTGATTAGGATCATCAAAATCGATTGTGGTATCAAGATTGTCTCTGAAACTATTCAAGTAATTGATGCAACACTAAGCACTCAGCTAAAAAAATTAAAGAATGATTACTATACAATGTGCTAAAACAACCTCACATCTCCATGATTGTCTGATTTAAAACCAATTGAGCATTTATAGGATCAATTAAGCATATGTATTTGTAAACATAATATTAGGAATAAAAAATATTAATGTCTATTACACAGATGGAATAATATTGAACATTCTACAGAAGAAAGATTAGTAGTTTTTAAACAAAAAGGTATAAGAGAAATTCTGTGGGCAAAGGGAGGCCCTACAGATCATTACTCGTGATTGAAACAGAAAATTCATATAATTCAGAAGAAATATATTTATGTGCATGGAGAATTTTTTGATATAACTTTTGTTCAATTTTTATTTAAATATCATTTTTGTGTCGACTAATTGTTAAGAATACATAATTTTTGTGATATGAATATCCAGGACCTTACTTTCGGAGTACTCGAATAAATTTTGATTAATTTCTGCCAAATTTCGAGTTAAAATATAATAAATTATTGAAAGCAAAATGTACAATAACTTATTTTGCCCACTGTATATTTTATGTATAATAAAAAATATCTAATATATGTTTGAATTAATATATTATAAATAGATATGTGTGTGGAAATAAATATAATTTTTACAATAACGTGAATAGTATAATAAAATTTGAAATATATGATATTTATTGTATAAGAATAACACGGAAGAAAAAAACAAAAATAACATAGGTAGGTACCTTATCAGTAAGGCGGCTTTTTGGTCTAGTCAGATTTTGGTAATCCCGGCCAAAACCCCCCGCAAGATGATCTTTTGCTTTGACCACATTCATAAAGTGTCACAAAAAAAGATGTACTTGTGTACACTGATAGAGATCAACAAGACTTATTCGTCCTAATATTTTCATGCATTTCGTTCACATAATTTTTCGGTCGTATTCGCATTTGACCAAGTGCCACTGTCATTTGTAACAATGTAACCTTGCTTGTTACAGTGCACGCTCCACTTGATACACGACGGTGATAATTTCATTCCACGCACGAAACACTCATTTTTGTTAAATTAATCTAGAGCTAATATGGCCGCTTACCGGGAGAAAACACAAATTACCATCAACCAATAGAAATATTAAAGAAAAATAAAACTGATTAAAATATTATTTTGGAAAGAAGATTGTCAACGAATGTGACATTTTCAAATAAGGATGCAACATAATCTGAAGAAATAATCTTGTCATTGATGAAGAGTTTTCTAAAGAGTAATTTTCTAGTAACGAAAAATAAATCATAAGCATAAGAATGATTGGATAACTTTTAATTCTTTGAACTTTGACTTAAAACATTAGATTTCTTTGTACGTTACTCTACCCATCTAGAAATTTCATGTAAAGAAAAACCCTAGAAACCTCAACAATAGTTAGTCAAATGTAGAACCATTTATTTTCTTTTCAGATCAGCATATGGAGAGCTAATAATCGAAATTAAAATATGCAATTAATTTGTTATTATTCAGCTAAAGTTAATATATTTGAAACTTACTCGTCTCTCACATAAATTTTAACAAAATAAACATTATTTGCTGATTTGAACACGTTTGTAGAAATTGTTAATATGGCAGAAATTCGTGTATCTAGTGTTGTTTAAGCTGTGAAACTAATTGACAAAACAGTAATCTATTACTAAAGAGTGCTGTGATGTGTACAAAGTCGTGAATTTTCTGGTCCCGTCCATTTAAAAGTCAATTTTTTGTGAAAAAAACTGACTAAAATAATATCTTCATATCATATTCATTCCAAGTCAACATCGAAGTTTTTGTGTTTTTTTTTTCCTTACGTTCATCTACTTTGTTTATTATGAATTTGATTGTATTCTGCCCTCAGTGACATACAATCAAATTAAGTATAACAGGTAACATTCTCAAAGTCTTTTTCATTATTCTCATATTTTCACATTGCATGGATTATAACCTGCTTACTTTTTTGTGCTTTAAACGAAATCTTGACTTGATACTATTAAAACGTATAATTTTAGAATATTTATCAAAATATTCATATTCTTGTACCTGTAAATACGTTAAAGATTTAAAATATTTTTAAGATAATATATTTTTTGAATTACTTACAATATTATGTTAGTGATTCTTTTTATATGAGTTACATACTGAATGAATACAGATCATTGAATGAGAAAAATTAAATCCATCAATAAACCTTTCAATATTTCAATCTTTATGTTTTAAGTTAGCGCATATTAATATAATTTCTGATTTTCATCTTACGCTATAGTAAACAGCTTATAATTAACATGTTGTAGTATTTACTTCGTTATTACAGGTTATTACAACGAGATATTGTCATGGATCTACATGGATCCCATGCAATTATACAACTTGTGTGTCACGGTATACAAACAAAGTGGTAGTGGTAATTGACATAAAACAAAAGTGTGTTGGTGTGCCCTGGCAGGTATTATATTTTGGAGCCACTGGGCTATGGCCAACCTGAATTTTGAGCAGCCTCCACGCAGTATTGCGAATACAAGCCTTACTTCGCGCGCGGGTGGTGGGGGGGGCTTAAATTCGTCGACCCTTGCGGGTCATGTCACGCCCACATCGGGCATGTTCTCAGGCTCATCTGCGAGTACTTCAAGTACAGCGAACTCTGTGGTAGTGGTTACCAACGTTTATCCTGGTGCATCAGGATCAGGAGGCACGCAGACCAGTCATCAATCCCAACAACAACAGCTCTCTCCTATGAGTAGCAGAGGGCTGTTTGGACAAAGGGCTTTCACAGATAGACGTACAATGCCTGCTCTTGGGTTAGTTGACTAAAAGATTATATTCAAAATAAAATGTTTAACACGTTGAGCGCCACGCTCATTTTCAAGGAAGTCCCCGTCAGGCCACGCTCATTTTCAAGGAAGTCCCTGTCAGGCGACACGCGCCGCTTAGAAATATCATGTTATACTCTGACAGCCAGCGGTGGCTAAAACGGCGTCCTAAACAAAAAGTCTAGTGTCTGCCACCGATGGCGGACGTGGCCCTCAACGTGTTAACACATTGTTTACCGGCAATTTTTCTAAGAATTTATGTCATGTCACCGGTTATTACTTCATAATTGGATAGAAACGTAAGATTATATACAAATATAATATTTTCCTTTTAAATAGTGTGATGCAAAAAAAATCGCATCACGAGTTTATTTGTGACCGGCCAGCAACGTTTGGCCATGAAATCACAAGTTTACTTGTGATCAGTCAACGAAGTGTTAAATGAATTAATTGTCATATTGCTATTATATATAATTCATTTATTTTTTGATAACATATCACGGTTTCTGTTTGTACAAAAAGTATTTCATGGCGTTCATTGACTGATAATACAAATAAATACTTTGATCAAAGAACAAATAAAAAAGACAAAAAGGATATCCTGTACTATTCATTTGATTTCAACTTTTAAATTAAAATTATGGTCTATTAAAAATAAAAATATTTAAAAATATACGTTGTTAATATGCAGATGATAAATGTGTAATATTTTACAGAACCTCAAATCCAATGGGTAGTATGGGCAGTTTTGGTATACCTCCAAGTCGCAACTACGGATCTCAAGGTGCGATTAATAATTTCCATTCTGTATTTGGGAGTGGAGGAGGTGGAGATACAAGTACACCCCCTCTATTAGACCTTTCGGAATTTCCATCCTTGACAAATAGAGGCCAGGGTGATTCCATGCCTCAGCCTAGTCCCATGCCTGGAAAACAACCGTATGGTTAGTGGTCATAAGATAAATTAGGGATGACTTTTCTGTTGCAAGAATTAATGTAAATATTGATTTTGTGTACACATTGGCATATTTTTTTATATATCACCAATAATTCTAAAATATAAATTTTGAATATTGTCATATGATCTATACATTAAATGATTTGTATATAAAAATAACATATTATTGTATATTACAGTTGGAATGGTAAAGCAACCAACATCAGAGTCGAGTGAATTTACTATGAGTTCAGAAGATTTTCCTGCTTTACCAGGCACACAAAACAGAGAAGGTCCATCACCAGGTGGAAGTGTTTCTGGAGATAAAAGTATATCCGTTGGTTTAGGCCCAGAAATTGGTCAGGATGTATTGCAAGCAAATAGAGCACCTGGATCTGAGAAATCTCAGTCGTCTAAAAGAGGCATTCAAACATCTCCAGATGGTAAACAAAGAATCTCGATGTAAAGTGAATTTATCATTGTTAGCTTATGAATTTTTAAAATTAATTATTTTTTTTTTATTTTTTTTAATTTTGTTTTATTATTTCTTATTGTATGCAACACATGATTATTCTGATATACATTTAAAATGAAATGTTAATAAATTTTCTTTGTTTAATAATTCTATAAAAATGTATGTATTTATAGGAAAGGTGACAAATATACCTGCGAGTATGGTAAAGGATCAATTTGGAATGGTTGGTCTCTTAACTTTTATCAGAGCGGCAGAAACAGATCCAAATTTAGTATCTTTGGCATTAGGACAAGATCTTACTGCATTAGGATTGAATCTTAATTCTCCTGAAAATTTGTATCAAAATTTTGGTGGTCCTTGGGCAGAAACACCGTGTAGACCACAGGATATTGACTTTCATGTACCGCCAGAATATCTTATTAATTCAGCAATAAGGTAGTACTTTAATTGCTATAACATTAGATATATTTTATATGATTTGGAATGTTGTAGCTTTAATATATAATGCATTTTTTTAGGGATAAGTTAGCACCAGTTAAACTAAATCGGTACAAAGATGATCTACTATTTTATATGTTTTATACAAATGTTGGTGACGTCTTGCAACTGGCAGCTGCAGCAGAATTGTAAGTAAAGCAAAAGTATCGTATCAAATGATTTGAATATATTGAAAAAACATTATAAAAATATTGTTTGATTTGGTATTTTTAAGGTACAGCAGGGAATGGAGATATCACATGGAGGAAAAAGTGTGGATAACGCAAGCCCCTGGATTAGGACTTGTAGAAAAAACATCGACATATGAACGTGGTACTTACTATTATTTTGATGCGCAAAACTGGAGGAAGGTAGCTAAGGAATTCCATCTGGATTATACAAAACTAGAAAGTAGACCTCATCTTCCCACTGGTTTTCATCAAAGCCAGCCTTGACTACAGGTATGAAATAAATTTGCATTATTTTTTATAAAAGTTATCAATAGAAGTTGAATGTATGAGTGTATTTTGATATTTCTTGAATGTAAATAAAATAATAATAGTATAGAACAAGCATAAATAAAAAAAAAAAAGAATATATTTATTATTTTGTTTTAGATCTGTCTGCAGAAAGTTATGCTGTCTTTAAGCTGGAGAGGAATCAGCTATTGTATAAATGAACAAATTTAATAATCTTTAATAAAAATATAAAATTTGAAGAGTAATAAAATCTTTGTTAAGAATTCCGATCCTATTAACAATATTATACATCATTATTCAAACGACTTGTTTAATACGTTAAGTGCAACAACACGCTCAATATGTTTGATAGATGAATAAATCATAAAAAGTGTTACATTATTAAAACGCAATGTGCAATTGATACGTGGTTGTGCAAATTGGCATTTGTCAACCGATTTTTCTAAAGTCCCTAGATACTTAAACAGTTAAAATATAATTCATGCTTAAACGGAAAGTCTAGTGCCAATCCCTAGTGGCACTTAACGTGTTAATATGTTGCTATTTTATTGTCCAGATAACATCATTAAGTGACCTTCTTATTTGTTTTCTTTTATTGTTTATGATATAAGGTTGATTACACTTTCGGAAGCATTTATGAAATAATTTTCAATATAATTCCGACTGTTATTTTCACATTCGTTCAAATAATACCTAAAAATTAAAAATATTATTAATCAATATTATTTTTATATTAGAAATTTATTTGATGAAAATAAAAATATTATTTTATACCTTTTTATGATAAAGAAAAAGAATAATTTATTAAAAGATTACCTGTAATTTACCATTATGCCACAACTATTTGCAATACCTCGTGGCGAAGAATCAGCCATCCAATTTATTCTCCACATGATAGCTCCATTTCGCAAATGAAAATTTGCTATGATAAAATAACAATTAAAATCAATGCAAAACAATTAGGTGTTACGAAATACATACCAACATTATTTAAAGCATAACTACGACGTTTTTCTTTATACAGGTACCATGCACATGCCCGAAGTAATGGCTTTTTAAGAAAATTTGATAATTGTTCGTCAGATGTCCATAATGAATTATTAAAAACTTTTTTTAATGTTAGAAATATATCATTTGTTTGAAGAATATTTTTTATAGATTCTTGCTCTTCTAATGTAAATATGAAAGAAATATCTAAAACAAAAAAAAGAGACGGATATTTATATATTTACATATGTATGTGTGTATGTATATTTCAAACAATTTCAGTCTTTACCTTGTTTCATCTTTTCTAATAACCATATTCTAAAATTAGGAATAGGAGATAAACTAGATAATTCATGTATCATTGGAAATTCTGTAACCACTTCATTAGCTACCTCCTTAATAAGGTAATTACCTAATTCAATACCCTAGAACATTTTAAATCTATAGTGTTGTGTGTAATATTTTGTCCTCTGTATCTTTTACACTTAGAAATAAATAATAAAAATAATAATAATAAAAAGTATTTTATAAATAATTATAATATAAAAAATATTTTTTTATTTTTACTTGCAATCCTCTTTGTGTGGATGCTATTGAATAAAATATTGCTGCTGTTATTTTTGATTTATCTTCTTCTAAATACGACGTAACTTTTGTTCCTACTCTTCCTAGAATTCTCTGTTCAGCTTCTTCAATTCCTTTAACACTATCTACAAATATGTATAATTATTTATTTATAATAATGATAATTAAAAGTATAATGCATATATAAGAGAAAATAAAAATTAAAAATTTACTTGGTATAGTATCACACAATGCTGTGTGAAGTACAACAAGCGGTTCTCTTGGCATAGATGGATGCGTAAATATATAACATCTTCTATATGGCCCAACTCTTCGTTTTAAATCTACCCAATTTCTTATAGGATGTATCGCTTCATAATCTGAAACCTTATAATTAAAAATAAATATTTCAGTAATAAAATTAATACATAAATTATATTACTGATATATTTTTATATATACATATACATATATACCTTTTGCAATATATCACAAGAACTTTCCCATGTTATTCGTTCTAAATGCAAAAATCCTACTGAAAACCATAACAATAATAAACCTTGGAGTGTAAGATTCAGTTGTTGGATCAGAAAATTTTTCTCACTGTCATTTGTTTCTGATATTAATTCCTAATCAAATCTTTATGTTACTCTATTATATTATAAAATTATTTATTATTTAATACTTACTAAAATGTCTGTTCTTAGATCAACTAAAAATTTAACACCATATTTAAGACGTCCCATGATAATAAATAACCATTGATAATGTGGTATAAGAGTACTTTGTAGATTTCTTTCGTGAATAATCATTTGTCTTTCGTTATTCAACTATAACAAAAATGATATATAATTGTGTGTATGATATTTATAATTAAATTATAAATTTATGAATAATTTTTGTAAATTCATTAAATATACATACTTCTGTACGAAGAAGTTTTTTTACATTTTCGAGTACACTGTCATGTTCAATTGCATAATTTTTAGCTAATACTTGCAAAATATATTGTTTTTGTTCTTTTTTACTTTCCACATACGTGTGACATAGGTTTCGTACTTTATTCTGTAATAAAAATATTTACTAATTATATTATTTTTTTTACAGAGTATTTCTCAATTTTTATTATAGAATATTAACCTCCATTATCCATTTACTTATATTAGTATCTTTTAATTTAAAAATTTCTTTTAATTCTTCTTTAATATGTACATTGAAATTAGCATTAGTATATAAAAATGAATTATTAAACAAATTTTGTGGAGATTTACGATTTAAGATTAATTTACACTTAGATGCACATTTATCGAAAATTTTTAAACGTTCTACTAAACGTAACATTATAGAATAATAAAAACTGTATGTATTAATTATTCTGAACTTTAACTTTTTACACTTGATTTTTTATTATATTAATATTATATGAAAATAAACATTCCATTACACAGTTTCTGCGCAACTTGATTGTTTTAATGAAAAAGTAAATATATGTATTTATTCCTTTCTAATTTTATGTGTACAAAATAAACGCAAAGTCATATCTTATTTAACATTTTTACTATGCTAACAAACGTAATAGTACAGAAGTGTACTATAAAAATTTTTTAATCAAGAAATATTTTAATTAATAATAAATAATATTAATGAAGCTATTAAATTTTTGTATGATTACTTTATTAAAAACATTAAAATTTATTTTCAATATGATTTATTGTAAAATCATATTTTTTATAAGCCTTTATAATGTTAAATTTTTTAGCAATCAAAAATCCCGCTTAATTTTACAATTATACAGTATATATTTATGCAGTGATCCCAGAGACTTTAGTTCGTCTGATCGACACAGGGGCGTAAAATTATCGTACGTCCCGGGAAAAATTTGAAATCCGATAATTTCTCAGGCGAGATTTTCAAAATGTGGAAAATTTTTTTTTTTTAGTCATCAAGTTCAAAACCCTATCGTAAAAACGGTAAAAACGGCGTACCGCAGGGAGAAATACTTGTTCATACAGAGATCGTACACGGATCGTGGTGGTAGTAGTAGGGGTGCACCTGCAAAATTTCATGACTAAAA